ATAGCGGATTATATTTATATGTGGGAAGAATACTTCGTCCTATATGGAATGTAAGATGTATAAAACAAGAAATGATAAATAATAAAAATGTAGTAAGTATAAAATGCTAGCAAAAAATTATTTTTATTATATACATTCTACATTATAAAAAATTTCTCAGCTTGATTAAAAAGACATTAACTTTAAATATAACTTTAATATTATTATTATAATATTATTGTTTATTATATATTTTATTTGCATTAATATACATATTTGTTGCAATAACAATTTCTCAAAATTATTTTTTTTTTTTAGAATTAGATTTTTTAGAATTACTCTTTTATGTTTTCAATCTCAATTATAAAACTAACCTTTTAATAAAAATACTCATCTATTTTATTACTATTTCTAAAATTAAAATTTTTGATTTATTGTAATATATAATTTAATTTATTATAAAAACAATGTATAGGTAAACATGTTTTTTAATCAATTTAAAAAATTTTGAGTTAGATTCATGTATATATTATTATTAGTTTTATTTTTAAAATTAGAATATTTACTCTTTTGTATTATAATTAAATTATAAATCTTATAAATTGTAAATATTATATTTATCTTTTCTAGATATCCAGTACAGTACCAGCAACACAAATAGCTTGGATTTTAGGACATTTGCAAGCATTGAGATCTTTCTTGAACAGAAATACGCATATTACAAAACAGTTTGTATTATTTAAAACATAATTTTTTAATATAAAAATGCGTAATATTTTATTAAATTATAGCCAATTGAGATTAAAACTGTATTATCCTTAGACAAAGCACAAGTAGTAGGACATTAACAGATGGTTTTGAAACAACGATTCAAAGTCATTTTCAAGAACCAATTGTAGAAGAAAGAAATTCATTGGATGCTTTAAAAGTTTTCATTACTCATGCCTGTGAAGTTTTGGGTTTATGGAAGATATTATGCGAAAATCGGTTAAATAACATTATCAACTGTTTGTCAAAGGTTGTTATTATTTATCTTTAGCTAAACTTTTTTAGAAAATTAGTTTTAAAGAGTAACAACTAAGATGTATACTTATATTTTTCAGGATCAGATTGCTCAATTTTCTACAGCCACTTTTAGAGATTTGATCTTAATAGGCCATGAGATATCTTCTCTACTCATCATTCATTTGATCGATAGGTAAGAGTTAACAAGAAGCGTCAGAAAATATTATAATAATTTATAATTAATATATTGTAGTTATCTTGGAGATAATGCATCAGTGGATTCTGTAAGTGCAAAATTAAGAGAAATATGTCCCAATCTCTATAGAACTGAAGATGCTGTTTGCTCCAAGGTATCATTTTATACATTTCATGTAGATCAATATTTATACATATATATCAATATTATATGCAAATATCTTTAAATTTAGGCAAATGAAATTCTCTTGAAAGCAAAAAACTGTACGAATCCTGAAGAAAAAGAATGCTATCTTAAATCTGCTTTAAAGGTATGTCATAATGCATTATTTACATAATACATAGTCTAATAGTTAATTTTACTTAATAAATATGTATACAGCTTTGCAAAGAGGTAGCACCCAGATTAAATTTGAGTGCAGTATGTCAACAGTTTGTGGCATGCCAATTTTACATGGGAGTACTTGAATTGTGTATCTGTTGTGCAGAAAGAGTAGATCCCAATAACGCTGCCTCCCATTATTACAAAAACAATGAACCTATAGAAGATCAAGAAGGAAGTCTGGCTTTTGCAAAACGGTATTCGTTAATAGGTCACAATAGTAGTACATATCCCTCCAAATAGCTATAAAAAATTTTAATAATTTAATTCCATTTTTTTCGTATTTTTTACAGTTCGGAAATTTATAAGGAATTTACCACAATGTTAGATCACTTGTATCATCAAAGTATCTCTAATCCTTTAACGCCAACGATACCGAGTAAACCAGGACCTCCTCTTCAAACCGCATCAATTGCTACAGTAACACCAGCGAAAAAGATAGTAAGAAATGATTTTTCTTCAATTATTCAGAATATTATAAAACTAACTTTTTTTTTTAGTTGCACGAGATCATTGGCGATGCACTGCAAGCACCTTGCGAGACACTTCATTCCTGTATTTATGCTTGGATGATAGGGCGAGGACTTCACGGTGAATTAATTGCACTTGCTGCACCCTCGCTGGAAACTTATCTCAACCGTATTAATGCACCTGAATTACTCTGGCAGTTTTATGAGAGAAATAAGAATCACGCAGCCGCGGCAAAAATTTTGGATTCCTTAGCTAGCAAAGTCGGGTACGTACATTTATCGTTTGCATAATATGGTTGTTTCGCGAAGATAAAAAATCATTGTTCATCTCATGTAGGCCAGAGATATCACTATCACAGAGAGTCGAGTATTTAGCACGAGCGGTTGTATGCATGCGAAGTGATCAAACTGGATATGCTCCTTATCTTGGAGTTTTCTTACGTGAATTAGAAGACAAATTAGAAGTAGCTAGAATGCAGCAACAGGTATATATTCCAATATGTCAATAGTCAAAGACACAAGTAATCTCTACAAACTAGGATACTTTCGTAATTTTGATTTTTTTTACATATAATTGAAAAAATCTTTTGAAAAAGAGAAATAATAAAAGATCATTAGATCAAACATCTTATTATCCCGACATATAAGCAAATGTTGATTCGAATATTAATAATATATGTTTACTCTAAATATTTAACAGATACTCGATATTATAAGCAATCAGCAAAACCTGTTCGATTCTATGATAGTTACGGATGCAAAATTGAGATTAAATTCTTCATTGCTTGATATTACACAGGTTTGTAACTTTGGTGTATATATATATGTGCATGTATGTATGTATATATAATGTTTTATCTATATATTTTTGAAACATTTTTACATAAAATGTTAATTACAGTTGTATGAAGAATATGCAGAACCTTTACAGCTTTGGGAATGCAAATTGGCTATAATTCATTGCTCGGGTCATCAAGATGACATGTTAATTAAAGGAATTTGGACAAACATAATTGATAATGGTATACAAGACAATATTTTACATGTTTACAAGCTTGCTATTTTCTCAATAGTGTTCTTAAATTTATTATGTATTCTTCATAGAATTGGAAAATGCAACAGAACCTTCAAATGAAGATAAAATAACCATTTTAATGAGTAAAATTAAATTACTGGGCCAAGAATATATTGGATCACCACATTGTTTCCCAGTTGGTAATTATATTTCATGTATATCCAATTATTTTTTTTACTAAAATCTCATGCCAATGTACATATGTTTTAATATTTTCTTTTATACACACATTTTAGATTTTCTAGTAAAACAATTGGAACTAAAGGCGTGTAAATACAAAGTATCTAACATTAGTATCATAATTGGGTTTTTAGAATTGGGAATAGCAATGGAAGATCTCTTAGATATTTACGACAAGTAAGTATGCCATATAAATCCAAATTTTTTTTTGGTATTGAAAAATAACGAATATCATTTTTAGAATGATTGGCAAGAATACTCGTACTTGGTTAAATGAAGGCAACGAATTTCATTTAATTGAATCGACAGCAAATTTGGTAAATTATTTCATAGCAAATTCGAACATAACAAATAATTTTATTAGGTAAGTATCATTTGTAATGCGCAATTCTGATCAAACTTTATTTTAGAGATTAAAATTTAGATTTACATAAATCAAAATAAGAGCAAGCGATAGTTTTTTTTTAAACAAAAATGAATAACATATTTTTCGTTTTTAATCATTATCAGATTTATAGTATTCTCTATTCAATTTGATTTTAATATAAAACTAGATTTTAGTAAAATTTTTTTTATTACAGGAGAAAGATAATAACAAAGTGTCAGGATGTTATCTCGAAATGTTTAACAACTCTCTTTAGTAAACCTAATGGTGGAGATCTTGACAAAGAAATAACAAATTTGCGATCAATCCAAAGCATATTGAATCGTATGTGAAACAGTAAAATTGAATATACATACAGATATATATTACATGAAAAAAAAACCTTTGTGCGTATCTTGATGACCTCTAAAGCTCTTAAAGACTTTCTTGTGACAAAAAACCATGTATTTATATATGAGATATTACTATTAGATAAATTAACTGCTCAATTTTTATGAATCTTTATTAAGAAATATACAAGTTATTCAGCTGCCCACAATCTTTTATAAAATTGTAAATTTTAATGATGTATCAAGTAATTATGTAAAGTTTGCAAATACATACATATATGCTATGTATTTAAAAGTATCTATTTACATTTACCAATCATTTTATTCCAAATATATATCAAATTGATTAAACTCAAGAAAATTAAATCATAAAAGAATGTAATTAAAATTTAAATCGAAATTTTATACAAGATGCAGACAATTGTTTAATATAGACACTAAATTATATATAGAATGATTATAGAAAATTCTAAATATGTAAGATATAAACTAAGTTTTAAATCGAGAGATAAATAAGAATAATAAAATATGAATGTGATATTTTTATTACTTTCTATATTTTTTAGTCAAACTGTAATTTTAATGATTTTAAAATAAAAATATTGATATTGGTAAATAAATTCTTTTGTTATATTAGTAACATACAATATTGGAATTTAAAATAATCTTTAATTGTCAAGCCCATTCAGAATCGAAACAATGTAAAGTATTTTCTCATAACTAAATAAAATTATACAATGGAGAAGTTCTTTCTAAAAACAATTTTATTTAAAATATCTAAAAATTTATATAAAAATTGATTTGTAACACGAGAATGTCTTTAAATAATTAAATCTACATTATAAGAGAATGCAACTTCTTACGTTATCTCTTAAAGTTATTCAAAATTTAAAATAATTTATGAAAACTCATATACAAGTTTCATACACAGTATAATCTCTCAATTTGTAAATTTATTTAAATTTATTAAAATTCGAAAACTTGAATTTCTTTAGACATATTTATTAAATATCGTTTTTTTATCAAAAGTTTACGAAGCCTATTCCACGATACTTGTTTAACTTTGGAAAATTAAAATCACAAAGCGTAAATTCTTTCATAAACTCGAAGCGACCGAGATCATACCATTGTATAAATATTTTGGGGCCCTGAAAAGGGCCATTTGTAATAATCTGTGGATCCGTGGCTAACCGTAAGTTGTTGTCTCACATCGCCGATTTATAATTACGCTTTCTTTTCCGTCTTCTTCGGCAACAGCACTGCCTGAATGTTTGGCAAAACACCTCCCTGCGCAATAGTGACGCCTGATAGTAATTTATTCAGTTCTTCGTCATTACGGATAGCGAGTTGCAAGTGTCTCGGGATAATTCTCGTTTTCTTGTTGTCGCGGGCCGCGTTCCCAGCTAATTCCAATACTTCAGCGGCGAGGTATTCCATCACGGCGGCCAAATACACCGGTGCACCGGCACCGACGCGTTCGGCGTAATTTCCCTTTCTCAACAATCGATGAATACGACCCACGGGAAACTGCAGCCCAGCTCGATTAGAACGGCTCTTCGCTTTGCCCTTTATTTTGCCACCTTTGCCACGTCCAGACATCTTAACGACTTTATTACGTTGAGGGACTCGATACGTACAGTACGACGGTCAAGCGCAATTTGTGCCGGCCTCGCTAAGCAGCAGGTATTTATAGGCAGTCGCGGTAGTAGCAGTCGACCAATAGCGTGCGAGCAAAGCTACCATTGGTCGGACTTTTATGACTCACCGTACATTTTCAAAATACTATGTTGGAGAAACGTTATCGTTTAATTTTCACATTTTTCTTGTTTAATAAAATATAAATAACAATGATTTTTGTCAATAATTTTGTGTTATGTTTATAAATAATAGCGATGAGAATGTTATATTACACTATTTTGATTACATTAGTCAATTACATTTATATATTTATTTTATAAGTTAATTGTATTATACATATATAGCACAGTTGTATTTATTATAATTATACAATAATTTCTAACAAAAATTAAATTCTCACAAATTGATGTGACATGTTAAGACTACTGTGCCACGATAATTACAAGATTATATTTGAAAATTTTTATAAATGTATTAAAAACGTATTTTAATAAAATTTTTTTATCTAATTAAAATCCACTTCAAATTATTGTTTCTTTTCGTTTTGATGTGCATATCAATATATAATCCAAACTATCATAACTTACTCTATTGCTAGAAATAATGTTCAAATTCTTTTCTTTTCAATGCTACAAGTTGTATTCAAAATTTCAACATTTGTTTGTGTGTCGATGTAACATATAAAAGTAAATATAAACGATATAGATTTCGACTTGTATGTGAAAGAAACATATTAAATCTTACACAACTTCAACATTATAATTTACACTTTAATCTATTTTTATATGAATAGATGATAAAGTATCTTTTTTTATATTTGTCAAATTTATATTTAGAAAAGCGAAAGATTTGAGCAATAAAATCTTAAATCTTTTATAAAATCTATTTGATAATTATTGTTGTATTCCTCTATGTTAAAGTAAATTCATCTATTTAGAAAAACGAAAATAAAATGTACCTTTTAGAGCATCTTGTTTAAAAACATTAAATACATTTATAAATATTTATTTTAATTTAAAATAAGGAACTTATATATAAATTCAATAATATAAAGTCTTGTGTCTTCATTAATTTGTATATCTTTGTTCGTTATATTTTTAAATAAAGATATTTCTTTTTTCTTTTTAAAAACAATATTCAATATATACTTATTTAAATTATTAGTTCAATAAGTTAAGCATTTTTACTAGTTAAAAATTTTAATAAAATGTTTCTTAAATATCATCTACTTTAATTTCATCATGTATAATAAAATCCTAAGAATATATTAGTTCGAAATCATATACATTGAATATTGATAAAACAAATTCAATAAAATAAATTTGTATACTATTAAATAAAATACACTATATACTTTACATGAAATATAAATATAAAATTTCTAATCAAATAGGTAATTATTTGGATATACGAATCTATAATATACTACATAAATTAACAATTTTATAAATATTTCAAAAATTACATGTATTTACATTTTCAAATAGTTCATTATATGAAAAAAAATTTTTTCTACATCATATAACTATAAATTTAGATTAAATTTAAGATGATTCGTTGTAATAATTTCCGTAACTGAAAAAACGTATTTTCACTTTATAGAATAATAAACAAATGATTAGTGTAGGTACATTATTCTGAAGATTATAAATCCATCACATCTAAAACGATTTAAATTAAGAATAAAGTATTAATATATTTAGCTCTAAGTTCATTATATTAATAGTGCATTGCTAACAGGATGTTCTTTCGAAAAAAATTGTTGGCCCTGAAAAGGGCCGATTGTTTATAATTTGTTCAAGCTCGCTCGCCACGAATGCGACGTGCCAATTGGATATCTTTAGGCATGATGGTGACTCGTTTAGCATGAATAGCGCACAAGTTGGTATCTTCGAACAATCCTACGAGATATGCTTCGCTAGCCTCTTGGAGTGCCATTACGGCAGAACTTTGGAAACGTAAATCAGTCTTAAAGTCTTGAGCGATCTCGCGAACGAGTCGCTGGAACGGCAATTTACGTATCAACAATTCCGTACTTTTTTGATAACGACGGATTTCACGAAGGGCCACAGTACCAGGCCTATAACGATGAGGCTTCTTCACGCCACCGGTAGCTGGAGCGCTCTTCCTCGCCGCTTTAGTAGCGAGCTGTTTGCGAGGAGCTTTTCCTCCTGTCGATTTGCGAGCGGTCTGCTTCGTACGCGCCATTGTAATCAACGTAAAACGTCAAGGTATCCTCGAAGTGTTTCGTCAGATTTAGAACGTTCTATTGCCATCGTTGCCGTTATATACCACTTGGACCATCGCACAAGGCGCTGATTGGTTGATATTACGAGAGTGGGGGGACAGGTGATGCGGCGATCCTATTGGTGGACGTCGTTAGGGTGGGGATTGTCGTGAAACCACGGAATAAAACCGCGGTTTTCGTTAAGCCGAGCAAAATTCACCCAGCTCTTCTCAGAGTGATAGTACGACGCTTCTAAGCAAATCACGATGACTGGTCGCGGTAAAGGAGGAAAGGGATTGGGAAAAGGAGGAGCGAAGAGACATCGCAAAGTACTTCGCGATAACATCCAAGGCATTACCAAGCCGGCCATTCGTCGTCTCGCACGTCGTGGCGGCGTCAAGCGTATTTCTGGATTGATTTACGAAGAGACGCGTGGTGTACTGAAAGTATTCCTCGAGAATGTTATTCGTGACGCGGTTACTTATACCGAGCATGCTAAGAGGAAGACTGTGACTGCTATGGACGTCGTCTACGCCTTGAAGCGTCAAGGAAGAACTCTATACGGCTTCGGCGGTTAAACGCAATCAATTGCTACAATATACAAACGGCCCTTTTCAGGGCCATAAATAATCCAACATTGGAATTTTCTTACAATAGCAATTATTATTAACATTTAATTTAAAAGGTTGTATAAAATTCGTATTATAGATAGTAACATTTTAGAAATTTAATATCTCTTATCTCTATTTGTCAGTAACAATTTCGATATTAGAATGAACTGTATTAACGTACATTTACAAAAATAAATTTTTAAAGATGAAATGTGAAAAAAATTAGTTTTTTGAGAGGTAAGAAAGTTTCTCTAAAGTTTTAAGAGACTTATTCGGAAATAATAAATGCACGAATAAGATATAAAAATTAAACGTATTCGTATATATGTGTGTACATTAAAGTATGATAAATTTATTTTCTTACATATATCTCTGACACTCAAATCAATCATGTTCCTACGAAATCTTTCTGTATGCCTAAACTATTCAAAATTTACTTATATATGTACACATATGTGTATTCTTTTCAGTTTTATTATTTCTTATAACTGCTAACTGTAAAAACGAAAAAGTCCTAATCTCATAAAGAATAGTTTTGAAAAGATCTAAGTTATTTTATGTCACATATACTTTAATATGATACGATGTATAATTAGCAAGAAGCCCGCAAGCAATTAAGAAGTATAAAATTCTAACTTTTAAAATGACAATAAAATTAAAAGAAAATTATATATCATGTATTGTTTACATATATATACTCTAATAATCTATATATAAGATTAAATTCCGATCTATCTAGTTATTATTTTCTAATATTTACTTAATTAGTGATAATAAAATGGCCCTTTCATTTTCTATTGCTTTACGCTAAAGCGTTGTATAAATTTAAAATATTAAATTACTCTCGAATTACTCATGATGTAATTTTATAACGTATTCTTGTAATAAGTGATTTTGAAAAAAGTTTGTTTCAGAAGAGAAATATTGTATAAATCGTTAACTAACTTATCAATATTCAATGGAATAAAAAGTCAAAAATCTAATATAAAGTGTATAAGAGATGTTTTAGGATTTTAGGATAGAATATAATTTTTTTGTGAACTTGACATAATATAAACCGATGAAATTAAACGTTCAAGGTACGAAAAATAAATAACAAAGGTATACAAAATTTGTCTTGTGGATATAAATGTCAATTCATCAGTGTGAAAATTATATGATTCGTTTCTATAATATAATTTATTTTATCAATGTACTTAATCCACGAGAAATAAAAGTTAATGAGTCGAAATATTCGCATAAAATACTGCAAGCAAAACGGAAAACTTCCACGTTTTAGACATATGTTGGCCCTGAAAAGGGCCGATGTAGGATGCAATGTATTTTTCAATGTCGCTTTACTTGGAGCTGGTGTATTTAGTTACTGCCTTGGTTCCCTCACTGACTGCGTGTTTAGCCAATTCTCCGGGTAAAAGAAGCCTTACTGCAGTTTGTATCTCACGAGAAGTGATCGTCGATCGTTTGTTATAGTGCGCCAATCTTGATGCTTCGGCAGCGATTCTCTCAAATACATCATTGACAAAACTGTTCATGATGCTCATGGCTTTGCTGGAGATTCCCGTATCAGGGTGCACTTGCTTCAAAACCTTGTAGATATAAATGGCGTAGCTTTCCTTCCTCTTCTTCCTCTTCTTCTTATCCGTCTTACTGATGTTCTTCTGGGCCTTGCCCGCCTTCTTTACGGCTTTACCACTCGCTTTAGGAGGCATGATGAAAGCAGTAGCGACGAAACTCTGAACGTACGAGATGCGTGTCGAACGAAGTCCGGACGTCAATTGATCGTGGTCGGCCAGACGCGTCCCTTTTATAGGAATCGGAGGGAGCGACGCTCCGCCAATCGCATCGCAGTTGCCAGCCCAGCTTATGTAGCGCTACAGTAACAGCTGTCACACGCTTTCTACGTTGAATCGGAGCGAGCTATGGAACTCATTGCGAACAAACAAAATTATACCATGATGGTTTATAACAATAAGATGAATCTGATGATTTAATAGTTATTCTCAATAGTACGTTAAAAATATATTTTAAGTGTTAGAATTTCACGTGAAATTAGAGATTTTCGAGCTATTGGTGTTGACGAATTTAATGAAATAATTAAGTTGGACGTATTTTTTTATAAAATAGACATGTAAAATAGACATGTTTTAAGCATGCCTTTAAGATAGATTAACATATTTCCCAATAAGATTCTATATGTAAATATATGTTTAAGAAGAGATGATATTTTTATAAAATGTATATACATATTTTTATAAATCGTATATACACAATCTTGAATATTTTTATTGTAATGCTGATATTTTTCTGTAAAATATTATATATAAGATTTCAAAATATTAAAATATCTACATTCCAAAAATTATACGAATAGCACAGAATAACTGTGTATCTTTGCAGTATAGCTGCAATAATCGAAGAAATATTTTTCCGTGATGTGCTATATCTAGATGATTTTATATAATCTTATTATTAGTCATGTCCAGCATTAAATAATTGTTTATATATAATTGTGAGCACAATAATATAACATACAAAACATAAATGAAGATGTGAGCTATGTTAGAGAAACTAAGAAATATTTATGTTTATATATTATATTCTATAAATTATTTTCTACTTCTATTTTGTATTTTTCATTTATTTATTCATTTATTTTAAGAGACTAGATTTAAGATTTATTTTATTTTTACATTATCTTAGCAAAAACTTTATAATTGCCAATATTTTTATAATAGGATTAAAATCGTATATTTAGAGAATAAATAATTACATAATATCACGTAACAATCTTTATATCTCATCTTTTTTAGCATTAAAAATAATTTAATAATTCACTTTATTATCTTAACATATGTAATAAATCGTTAACCAATTGTAGAGTTTAAAAAGACTAGCAAACAAAAAAGTACATGATATTATTTTGAGTGATATTCAATAAGATGAAGTTTAATATTAAAATATCTACTTAAATTTATAACAAGCTAAATGTTTGAAATAAATCGTGTATAAAGACGATGTAATTATTACTGCATTTACGTTAGTTAAAGCTATAGTTTAACTAACTTGTTTTATCTTTTTATTCATTCTTAAAAAGACAAAAGATAAATAAATATAAAAGTTTAGAAATTTGATACATAGATAAAATTCTAAAGTGAAAAAGTATTAAAATTACTATCGATAAAAAGTATATAAAATTATAACGAATCACTATATCAATCGTCTAAAATATTTTCGCCATGCATCACTATGGAAATATTGTGATTCATCGATAAGTTATTTTCCTAGTTTGATGTTAATTTGTAATAAGATTGTGCATTTTAAATTCAATATAATAAATATTTCATCATAAAGCAATTACTTAAAATTGTGTAATTGTGTAATGTCTTGTAAACGTATTTTATACAATGAGAATTGCCTCATGTCAATTGTTAGCGTACTTAAAGTATGTTAGAGAACTTTATTATATTATCAACTTTGTAAAAAGTGTTATTAACTATAACATTAACTATGTTAAATTTATTGCGATGCAAAGATTTATTCCAGTCATAAGATTTTGTGGCCCTGAAAAGGGCCATTTGATGATGATATCGAATGATGATTATGATTATGCTTTCTTTTCGGTTTTCTTGGGCAGCAGTACAGCCTGGATGTTCGGCAAAACACCACCTTGGGCGATGGTTACACCAGACAACAGTTTGTTCAACTCCTCGTCATTACGGATGGCAAGTTGCAAATGACGAGGGATGATTCTCGTCTTCTTGTTGTCGCGAGCCGCGTTGCCTGCCAACTCCAATACTTCAGCGGCAAGATATTCCATTACCGCGGCCAGGTAAACCGGAGCACCGGCACCAACGCGCTCGGCGTAATTTCCTTTCCTCAGCAAACGATGAATACGACCCACGGGAAATTGCAATCCCGCTCTGTTGGAGCGCGACTTTGCCTTTCCCTTGACTTTGCCGCCCTTTCCACGACCAGACATTTTGCTAATTCAGCGAATACAGAGACCTCGACTTCACGAAAAGCAGAAGAATTGTGACGGACGGTCGATTCGTGCTGTCCTTTTATACTCCATCGGAAGAGCGCACCGCCACCTATCAGAGCGCGCGGTGGCCATTCCGCATTCTGATTGGTGCGTTGTAGCCCTCTTGCGTACGTATATATACAATAACTAGAGGTAGGCTTCATCACATTTTTCCCGTGGACATCGAGGACGCTGTATCATAGCTTGATCTGACAAGTCTCGATTTTACGAGAATGCCTCCTAAAGCGAGTGGTAAGGCTGTAAAGAAGGCTGGTAAGGCCCAGAAGAATATCAGCAAGACCGACAAGAAAAAGAAGAGGAAGAGGAAGGAAAGTTATGCTATTTACATCTACAAAGTACTGAAGCAAGTACACCCGGACACGGGAATTTCCAGCAAAGCCATGAGCATCATGAACAGCTTTGTAAACGATGTATTTGAAAGAATCGCCGCGGAAGCGTCGAGATTGGCGCATTACAACAAGCGCTCGACCATTACTTCCCGCGAGATACAAACTGCTGTAAGGCTCTTGTTGCCAGGTGAATTGGCCAAGCACGCAGTCAGTGAAGGCACCAAGGCAGTCACCAAATACACCAGCTCCAAATAAATTGCCAATTGCCTTGAGTATATAAACGGCCCTTTTCAGGGCCAAAAAATGTTTCCAACGTTGATTCCCCTAGGTTTTGCATCAAATTATGCTATATAATACACACATTTATTAAAATTGTACAAAAAATTTACTGCTACAATGCTATAAAGATTGATATATATATTTATATCAATTTTGAAATCAAATACGATTCAAATCTAAATGTATTTGTTGAAAATTCAGACAGAAAAATTTTATTTATTACCTAAGAATTTAAATTTAATCGAGTTGCATTTTATGTGGGTTTATATATTATGTTTTATAATATTGTTATATAAATATGTTCAAGAATATTTGCGTAAAGATTGTCGGAATGTTTTAGCGTAAAAAAAAAAGATTTTGACTATTAACTTTTCACATTAATGGTGACGTTAATACATATATTCTTCTATAATAATATAGAATACAATAATTCCATGGAATGTTCTTGAAAAATTTTCAAATGTATTTATAAATAGCATATACAACGGTTGATATGTATTACACACTATATGGATCTATTTTTAAAATCAAATAAATTTTTATTTTATATGTTTTTGAATATCATAGTTATAATTATTAAGCATGCTCTTCTCATTTTTAATTTAAATAATATAGCTCTTCCAAAAAGTACTTTTCTAAAAGTATTGATCACAAATATATAAATCAATATTTATTTGACAGAAACATAAAATAAAATTATGATTCTAAAATTAAACAAATAGCTACAGAGTATAAATTTTATTCGTAAATTAAATAATGTTAAAATACAAATAAACGTTTTTATACAAATATGATTAAGTTTGACTTTCTCGTTATTATTTCAAAATATTTTAAAGCGATAAATAAACACGCATATGTATAATTTTGCGTATTTACAAAATTTGAAATAAAAATTTAAAATATTAATCTCAATGACGCACGATATATACAGCGTAAAAATTGTATCGTAAAATGATATTGCAGTGTTATCATAGAAAATTATCTTCCACATTTCGACCGATGTATTCAATAATCGATTATAATGCGACAAAGAATAATATTCCACAAATTTGTTTTACGCAGGCAGGTGTCTCGATTTTCATTATTGCAATCGAACTTTTCAATCGTGTTTAGTTTATTATATTTTTTTTTCAACTTTTCAGTTATTCTATTATTTCCCATCCTAACCTACTAAAAATTGTCAAGTGTACAAGTTCAAATCGCAGCATGGCTACAAATGCAAAATTTTTGGCAGAGTCTAAATCTGATTTGAGTGATATCTTTCGTTCTGCCGTGAAAGCAGTATCACCGAACGAGATTATCAAGAGGAGAGTGAAACTTCGAAATAATACTTTGTACGTTGATGACAAGAGTTTTTTGCTTCGAGAGAATGTTTATCTAGTTGGATTCGGTAAAGCAGTTATGGGAATGGCAGTAGAACTCGAGAAAATACTCGGTAATGTCTTGAAAAAAGGTATTGTCAGTATTCCATCAAAGGATGCTATGTGGACTTTCAAAGATAAATCTAGCTTTCCCAAGTTACACAATAGCGTGATAGATTATCGTGAGGGTAGTATCAATAATCAACCTGACAGCAGATCATTGGATACTACTCATAATATTATAGATCTGGTTGAGAACTTGACAGAAGCAGATACTCTAATAGTATTGGTATCAGGTGGAGGCTCCGCTTTGCTATATATGCCAAGGCCTGTTCTTGATCAAGAAGACAAGTTGGAACTTTGTAAAAAGCTTCAAAATGCTGGTGCTGATATCACAGAGCTTAATACCATAAGGAAAAAGTTGTCTCTTGTAAAAGGTGGTGGTTTGGCACGAATAGCATATCCTGCATCCATTATTACGCTAATATTATCCGATATTGTTGGTGATCCTGTGGACTTAATTGCTAGTGGTCCTACTGTTTATAGCACGAAAGCACCAGACACTGTAATTTCTATATTAAAAAAGTATAATTTATATCAGTCATTAGAAGGTAATCTGAGGACAGTTCTAACATCCAAAGAGACATTCAATGACAAATCACTGTTGAGTCCAGCTAAACAATTTAAACATGTGACAAATATAATTTTGGGAAATAATACAATGGCTCTTGAAACTGCCAGTTTGGAAGCATCGCGCAAGAAATTGACTCCAATAATATTAAGGAATGATATTACAGGAAATGTACAGGATGTTAGTTTAGCATATGTTCATATAACAAGTTTAATATGTCTTGTTTTATTAAAAGAATTAGAGAAAAAAGAATTTTATGAAAGAATACAGACCATGCCAATACTTTCATTATATGTTGATAAGATAGATGAAATTTTTCATAAGATCACTAACAATGTCGGTGGTATAGTTTTAATTGGAGGAGGAGAGCCTACGGTTGTAGTAACTGGTCAAGGAAAAGGCGGAAGAAATCAAGAATTAGCTTTACGTTTCTCGTTAGATTGGCTAGCAAAAATTAAAAGTTATCCGCGACTCGCCGAATACGATGTAATAATGCTTAGCGCAGGAACCGATGGTCAAGATGGACCTACTGATGCAGCAGGTGCATTTGGTTATCCTTCCATTGCACCTATAATGCATGATGTTTATGCAAAAATTAAGTCTATGACTACTAAAAAGTTTACACAAACTTTATCTGAACAGGAAATAAAAGAAATATCAGATAAGAAATCTAGTAACACAACAGAAGAGTCTGTTTCTGCTCAAGAACATATTGATCCCTTGGTTTTGACAACAATGGAAGTAGAACGTATGTTACCTGAAAATACCTTAAAAGAAAATGATACATACAATTTTTACTCGCGTTTCAAAAAGGGTACAGATTTAATCAAGACAGGAATCACTGGAACCAATGTTATGGATTTACATTTTATTTATATTAAACGACGTTCGTGCAGATGTGAAATTGATTTCTCTGACAAATCAACATATGAAGAAGATATTTTAGACACACATGATTTACATATTGATGCATTGACCATCGAAAAGTACAAGGCTACATATGGTTCATTAAAATTGGATAAAGACGAATTTTTACAATTTCCATTTTCAACTATCGAAGAAAAAAAACCACTTCTTAATGTAAAGATCATTGATGAAAATTTTAAAGATCCATGTTGCAATATAAAACGTAAACTCGATTAAGCAAAAAAAAATTTATAAAGAAATGTGATATAAATTTATAAAGAATATGATTACATTCTATATTATTACATTATTACGTTATTAACTGTATTGCATAAAATAACATTTCAACAATATCTTTCTAGAAAGAATAAATTTACATTTTGATGTAAATACAAAAATTTTTTAACTATACGTAGGATACTTCAATTATATTTGTACGTTACAAAGGCACTGTTTAAAAATAAATCTTTTAAATTATAATATTTTTTACATTACATATTAATCGTAATTGAAGAAATGAAATAATATATCTTTTACATTTACATACACATCAATACATACATTTCACACATACATACAGATACATCTATATATCTATGTACACAGAACATTGATGTATATATTATATATATTTTATATTTGTTGATCTTTTGTATATATGTATATTTTTCTCACTTATATAAAAAAGAAATATAAAACTAATATTTCGTAAAAGTATATCTAATTACAAAATAACAGTTATATGGTCAGACAATACAGCTTTGGTTTTAAAAATTTTTGCTCTACAAATCTATTTCTACTTTATAGATATAACATCTTGTTCTTTTGCAATTATTTTAGTACTGATCTTATTTTATAAAATAATTATAAAAAAATTATATGGAAAAGATTTTTAGATTTCTTGAAAAAAATTGTTCCAAGACAATACAAATGAAAGGATATAAAAATTGCCAACTTTATATATATATATATATATATATATATATATATATATATATATATATTATGTTTACATTATTTAATTTAAATAATTTAATTAAACAATTGAAATTTTTGTTAATAACATATGTATGAATTATGCTATGAAATGATAAAAATATGTGAGATTATATACTTAATTTGTACATTACAATATCATTCTTAATCATTAATGTTTAAGATTTATTTCAGACAATGAAAAGCTTATTAATTATTAAAGAACTTTTCGTATATCCAAAGATTGTGAGATTAATAAAATAAAAAAATTAGTGTAAGAGAGTAAGAGTGTAAGAGAGTAAAAGAGAAGTTGTTAAAATTTATCAGAAAAAAATATGTAAACATATTAATGAATTGTATGTGTAATTCATAAAATAGCTTTTAAATATATCTAATAACAAATATGAAAACAATTCACATTTTTAGCTGAAGATACTTCATTAAAAGAATTGTATTAATTATATGCTAAAGATCCCAACTAAATAAATGATGTTTGACTAGCATATCACGAACCCCATCTTTTAAAGGTTGCGATTGTTCCTTTTTGGGCGGTAATTCCCAGTCGGGGTTCAAATTAAATGCAAATTGGCTTAGAATTCTTAATTCACACTTAATTTGCACCCAACCTGGACTATTTATGAAACTCCATGGATGATACCTAAATATTGTATATCGTTATATATTGTATAATAAAGGCAATATATATATATATAAATTTTAATACAAAAAGTATGTGTGTTTACACTTGCCATTTTTGTACCACTTCTACGCAGGAACATAAGACCTCTAACCATAAATGAAGCACTTGTTCATTCAATCCAAGACAGATAAGAGAGCGTAATTTTACGTCCATCTGAGCATGTGCATTATCATGTGTTAGGTTTACAGATTGAACGCAACGATATAATAACTGAAAAATTATTTTGTTATTTGATATATATATATGTGAACATATATAAGAAAAAAATGAGTGCAACATAATCTATAATACCTCTTCTGGTGTCAGAACTTTACCATCTTCATCTAATCTATATGTTTTGCACAATACCAATCGACTATAAACAGAATTGAAGTCTTTTTCCACTTCTCTGTTAGAGGCTTCTTCTATAAATAACCATGGATGACACGGTCCACCCAAAAATGACGGTCTTTTCATTCCATGCTCTAATACTGCCTTTACGGTGGGACACAATGTACCTCTTACTAAATCGGTAACAGCTTCGCTAACAGTATCATCTCCGGCGCATGTATATTGTTTACTTCGTTCATCTAGCAATTCTACAAATTTTGCAGGAAACCATCCTAAAATGTGTCATCAGTGCTTCAAAAGTGCTTAACATCAAAATAAATACTATAAGATTATTTTAGGCATATTACCTCTTAATCCATTGAGTTCTCCTACCCAACAATGTTCATCTTTTTGACTAATGATTGTTATTATATCATTCTTTCGAAAACCGAGCTCATCGTCATCGTGTCTCTCGAAATCTGTAATAAAGTCAATTGTAAAACAGCTTCAGCTGGTTCAAAATATTACTATTGTTATAAAATTATTTAAAATATTTAATATGCAATTTAATAGAAAAAGTATTTGAACCTAATAAAGCTTTGGCTCTTCTTTTTCGTGTCCGTGATACATTGACATAATTATCATGATCTTTTGCGTGACTTTCCATAGTATAATCTGCTATGAGAACAATATTATTTAATTTTGGATCCACATTTATAAAATGTCTTGCAACTTGTAAAACAGCTTCTCTCAAATCGACTAGAATTTCTAAAAGTTTCACATTCATGAAGTTAGACAATGAAATTTTATTGTGAATCTTTATACACAATCTATATACATTCATATACCTGTTTGACGAATATTCTTAGACTTTGCATCATCTTCACCATCATCATTTCCAAACAAAATTGTTTGTAACATTGATTTACTTCGCTTCATTTGACGTCTGTAAGCAATATTGCACAGTATTGATATATGAAAAAATAGAAAAAGAGATTTAAATTATTGTGATTATTAATCAATGTTAATAATAGTAATAATGGACATATTTCTCATCACCTATTCAAATGTTGTTTCGGTAAATTTGGTACTGCATCGGGATTTCCTACTAATCCACCTTGATCAGCCATTAAATACGCTAAATGACGACGTCTATGAGTTTCAACTAATACATCTGTTAGTGACCCACTAACTTCTAAAGATACCTAAAATATATATTAAATAAATATTATGATAATATTATAAGATAATATTGGAATTTGTTACTTGGAATTTGGTACTTTAATAAAAATTATATCAAGAAAAACATACATTAAATAATTGGTCCACATCGTCAATGTCACCTGGTATATCTGAGAGAGCATTAAATATTTGTGCAGAGTTTTCCAATTGTTTTAAATCTGTCTCTGAAAGAATATTTAATAATAAGCTTGTGTAATTATATATGAAAGAATATATACATGATAGTGTAAATATATAAATAATATTATATATAAATATATAAATAATAAATACCTTTTATTTTTAACATTCCAAGTGTAATTTGAAATAAAACTATAGATCCATCAAAAAGAAACATATCCCATATTCGTAGTAATATTTTCATGTGTACAACTGATGCAAATAAAGTCAGAAACCAGTGCAAAGATATGAGACTTAATTCTATGTCGTGTAGTGCCAAAACATGATCTATATCAGGAAGATAATTAGTTACTAATGTGCGAAGCACCTTTTGGTCAGCTTGAATACCTATGGAAATAATTAAAATTTAACATTGATAATATAAACTTTTTTTACTTTAAATGTTTTGTAACACCACAACAGATAATATATTTACCTAATAATGTTGAAGAATAATAAGAAGCTGGTAACAAATCTTCTACTATTGTTGCCATCATCCAAAATGCATCATCTTCTTCCAAAAGCAATAATAATGACGCTGCCATTGTACCCGTGCCTTGGCAATAACTTGATGTAGCAGAAAAGAAATTATATATTTTAATATTTTATATTTATATTAACTTAATGAGTTAACCTTAGAATTATAATACATATTTGTATTTCTCCATACCCAATATCAGGATACAACCAAGCTAAGGCACGCATAACACGTCTCAAACGGGGTATACCGGTACTATGGAGGTGACTGAAACATGCATTGGCTGGCATAATACGAAGGAGATCTTTCTCTATTTGTTTATTGGTCATTAAAGTATCAATACTTGAGGCTTTTACTATATCTTTGTACAGTATTTCCGATGAACATTTTTTCTGAAGTGCTCCTGTAATTAAAAATATATTTTTATAATTTACAATTTATTGTATTTATTTGTATTGTTTTATACCTGACATGCGCATCCAAATTTGAGGTCTCAGAGAATGAGGTATCCCATGCCGAACCATTTCACGTAATTTATCCGTACGCGGTAATCTCTGATCCATATTTTGCCAAGAGAGTTCTGCTACTTCTTTATTATGGCTAAATTCTAAGAGAGCAACCCACTGCAATCTGAAAAGTAAAATTAATATGTATCTTGATTATATACTCTCTCTCTCTCTATTCCTGCATTTCATATATAATTTATAAATATACATTTATCTACTGATTCTACATTATTCTACATTAGGCACATGAAAAGAATATAATTAACCTGTGTTGAGGATCTTCCACAAATGGTATTCCTAATAACTTCTTTGAACTCTGCTCAGGACCATCTTCTTCCTCCACACGAAAACCAAATTCATCGAATCTAAATTTTACAATTGAAAAAGCAGTTAAGTACTATATTCTATAATATTATATATTTTCTCTAACTGTATATATATGTATATTTTCTAAAAATAATAAAAATTTTTATTGTGCCAAAAAATATAGTGTTAAATATGTTTATATATAAAATTAAAAAATTTACATTTAAAATAGAAATTCAAGAACTATTGTACATTATTTGGAATACAATACTTTACCTATATTCAGGTTGCGAATTTGGATCATCGGGTTGATTCAATTTAACTAAAATATCTTGTGGCCACATGGATGGAGTTAATGCTGAAAATGGACCACCTGGTGCCGGCGACAGAGTTTCACCGCATAAACCTTCAATCTCTACTTCCACCTCATCTTCAGAAATAGCAGTTTCCAATTTTTTCTAAAATACCCCAATGATAAATTATATCAAACATAAAATATACATAGATAAAAAGTTTAATTTACTCTTTATAAATATAAATTGAGATTGTTAGAAATATTTTGATATTTCATTTATTTTTTATTATAGAATCTTCAAATCACACATTGATTTTATTATATATTGCTCCACTTTAAAAAAATATTTATTTATTATTACATAAAAATATAATTATAATTTTGGAATTACAATACAGAAACACTTATTTCTAAACTGTATATTCACTTGTATCTCTAGTTAATTTTTTACTTTATCTTTTAGTTAATTTATGTTTAAAATTTTTCTCTCTTTAGAAACTGTGCGAAAATAATTTAATTATATAAATATATAATAAAGTTATTAGAGAAAGTTTGATTTTAAAATTTGCATTTTATATCACGTCTTTAAGTAAGAATATAAGATAACAGATGTAAACTTATCCGCACAAGTACTCACGTTATGTTCCTCTTTCCCGACATAACCATCGTGATCGCGAACATTAAAGAATGACTTGGCCAGATCCATCGTTTCGAGATGTTCTCGTCAGATTCCGTTTATTAATGCGTCAAATCTTTATTGACATTTTACAGCTGTCAAGTGCATGGACATGGATGCCTGGAGTTTTATTTTCGTTTCGATATTTTTAGCTAAAGATACCTGATTTTTTCGACACAATGTCAATTAATAATCTCACGAGAAACACCGGCTAATCGTTCTCTCTGGATGTTATCTGTTTATGTAATTACATTTCGTTTCAATTTCATCTAACGCTATCAAGCACCCTGTACACCAAACATTGGAGGTGCTAAAAGGAGAAGAGGAGAAAAGAAGAAAGAAAGAAAGAGAGAAAGAAGAGAGGGAAAACGCGAAAGCATCGAGCTCTATAGAATAGGAGCGAATCTCTTTCCTCTTTCCCATATTGGTCTACAGCAAATCGGGGTCAGAATTAGAAGGAGATATGTATATTCCTGGATGGATTTCTATCTCTTTCTACAACAATAACCTGAACTAAAAACATTTCTCGTCAGATATGTAACAATAAAAACGATACAGCCGGTGCGCAACTTCCAGGAAATACTTTGATTTTATTAATGAATTTAAACGATGAAATTTAAAATGATTGCGAATCATTTATTTTTCTTTTAATTCGTAAAATACGCGAGGTCAATGTTTTTGGCTATGATATTAAATACCGTCAACCAATCAGCGAATCCCTGACAAAGACGGCGATCCATCCAGCATGCGTGTATCCTTTTCTGCAAATTGGGTCATCTTACATGTATAGGTATTAGTTCTATGGTTATACGAGCTCGATGCGCGACAGGTCCCGTTATTTTCTGTACACGTTATTTTCGAAAAACAACAGCAGAGCGCAGCACCTTTCGAAAGCGAGAAATGCGCCGTCCGAGGAAACATGGCGTAAAGTGAGCGTGTTGCTCGTGTGTCAGTGATTTCGGTAAGAGGTCAGTTCCCGAATCTCGGTATTGGTGTAAAAATCACGAGCGGTTCCGCAAGATTTATCGTTAGACTCGTACCTGGGAACGAAGCGTTCGAGCGAACTCCGGGATCTGTCGGAGAAAACACGCCGGGAACACGCACGGAAGAGACGCACTTGATCCAGTAGCAGTCTCTCTCGTCTGTCATCGTGGGATATTCATTCTGTCAGCCGTCCCAGCCATTTCACGAGATTCCACTTGGCCAGCCGCACAGTCGCGGTAATGTCCGTTTCCGAGCCTGAATCCGCGTGATCATCCTCGCGATCTCGCGCGTGGCACGAGACCCGCGAAACCGCGGGTTTTCTCACGTTGCCCGTCCCGATCGAGCCTCGATCGTATGCCGATCGGAAAACTTCGGGCCTAATAAGCTTCTCCTGGCACGACCACGCATTCCGATCCCCTGAGTGGTTGTGTCTTCGTCTCGGGTTTAACATTGATATAGTTGTTGTATTATACTCACGACTAACAATAACTAGTTATTTGTATATTTTTACATAACGCGCGCGTAAGACACGGATAAATAACGTGTGCGTAACGTGCGACATAATGCACAATCGGATCTGAGATTTTCGAGAACTTCTCTCTATAAAAAATCCCAAATATTCGACTTATTCAAAATATTGTTTTCTTATTGCTTTCCTGTGCTTTCTTGGTTTCTTCTATGTGAACGTGCGTTACACTGGATCTTTATAACACATTTGAGTACTAAAAATAGCAATTTTATGCTGAAAGGATTAAATATTGAGAATCTTTTTCAAATATTTTAATTGTTATATTATTTTCTATGTTATTATATATTGATTATTGTCAAGTACCAGTCATGTTTATTGCATAAAATTTACCGTATTTAATAAAGTTATATTACGAGCAATTAAGAACATATTACAAATCAAGAACATATTATAAGAAACACTATAAGAAATAGAAAAATTACTTGCTGTTTTTTTAATCAAGTTAGTCGGTTTGAAGCAATACATTTCTCACAACAATATTTATCTAATCAGTTCTTTAAATTATATAAATTATATGATTTTAATTTTTTAGGTTGAATTGTGGTTTTAATTAAGAATAAACGCGCATTCCTATTAAAATACATCAGTAATAGGCAATAAAGATTAAAGTAAGTTTAAATAACAACAATTTGTCTATTTTATACATATTCTATATAAAAGATATTTTAAGTATAGAAAGAATTAATATATATCATTTATCTATGTTCATAATTATTGGTTGTAATTAAAAAAATTATTTCACTTTCTTTAAAGTAAGAAATAAAAGTAAAGATAATATAATTTTATGTCATATAAATATATAACAGAAATACATGTGCACATGTAAATATTTATATATATATAATATATATATATATATTTATATATTTATGTAATTATATAGAAATACAGACGGAACATACATAGATTTAAAAATAAAATAATTTAGATTATAGTGTATAACAAATAGTTAATTAATTTATTGAATTATAAAGAGGAACAGCTATCATAATTATTTCTTAATTTTGTATGCCACTTAGTTAAAAAAGAAAAATTATAAAACAGGGAAGCACATAAGGAAACAGAAAGGGAGACGGGTTGTGATCTCAGAAAAGAGAGCCATTTCACAAGCTTGGTTTAGACATTCTAAATATAGCTGGAGGCTCTATAGGCTTTCCGTACTGTGTCATGCCGTGCAGAACAGCATCCTGCTGTGTTGCGTAGATCTTGCTCATTTTCCTCCGTTAGGATGGCATGATGCCAATTTTTGTCTGTTTGAGAGTGTCTGCAATAAGCTTTTAATAATCACTTCGCAAAATATTGTTTCTCTCATTAATAAAAGAGAGATGTTGAGTTTATTGCTCTAGTATTATAATAGAATGCAATTTTTCTTATTGAAAGATTTTTAATAATTTCAATAGGATATTAAAGAAAAAATTTTAAAAAATTAAATATAAAAAATCAGCACTGTATATATAAAATATCTAATATCGATTAAATTGTAAAAATAAATTATATTGCAGTACATTTTAAAAAAAAAAGTTGTTTTGTTCTGTTAAAAATAAAATGAAATCTTAAATAGTATTTTTTTAAAATTGTGATACTAAACATTTGATTTAATCAAATTTATGTCATTTTGCTTACAGATCATGGTTTGCAGAGCCGATGAAAAAACTCAAATATGTGTGGTCCAATTCAATTTACCTTACGAGACTAATCATAAACTTTGCACTAGTGACAAATTTTCCTTATATGTATCTACACGTGTGAAAGATCTTTACAATTATATTGAAGAACATTATCATATGCAACCAGATAGCTTCAGATTGCTTCTATACACAACAACATGCAAAATGGTACTTTTTAAATATATAATATGATTATGTATACAATATATAAATACATGTAATATTAATATAATATTCAATTTTTATGTTTATATATTAGATTCATTTGTCTGATGTGAAAGACAAAACAATGGAAGAAATTGGAGTAGATTTCTCGATTGATCCGAGTTTAGCTGGAACAAAAAATACTTTATTTGTTGTTGATCCACAACGACCCTTTGTTGTTGAAGAAAAAAATATGGAATATAGTCTGCCAACATATAATCTCGCAGGAGCTCCAACTCCTCAGCCACATATGTGGGGAGAAGAAGATATTGTGAGGGAAGATGTTAGAGAAGATGTTAGAGATGTTAGAGATGTTAGAGATGGTAGAGATGGTAGAGATGGTAAAGAGGAAGTTAACTTTAGAAGTTTCATTAAAACCGAGACAAGTATGTAATAAGTATATAACTTTAAAATTATTCTAAATTAATTAAATATAAATTTGTAAACATTAACACAGATTTCTCATTAAAATATATATTTGAATGATTAATATTTCATAAATTTTTCAAGGTTATGTTGGTTTAGTCAATCAAGCAATGACGTGTTACTTAAATAGTCTTCTCCAAGCGTTATATATGACGCCAGAATTTCGTAATGCGCTATATAATTGGGAATACATAGATGGATCAGAAAAAGATGAAGCTTTAAGCATACCATATCAATTACAAAAATTATTTCTTAATTTACAGGTATAATACATATTTATAATATATGTATACTTATTATTGTGTGTATTATTCTTACTAGACTTACGACAATATTTATTTTTAATTAAATTGACATATTTTTAATATACATTTTTTAAACAGACATCTACAAAATCTGCAGTGGAAACAACATCTTTAACTAAAAGTTTTGGATGGGATTCTACTGAAGCATGGCAGCAGCATGACATTCAAGAGCTTTGTAGAGTTATGTTTGATGCATTGGAACAGAAATTTAAAAATACAGAACAGGCGGATCTAATCAATAGACTCTATGAAGGTACAAAATATCATTATATATGAATTGAAATATATTTCTAATTTGTTTTCTATGTTGTTAGGAAAGATGATTGATTATGTTAAATGTCTTGAGTGTGGAACAGAAAAATCAAGAGAAGATACATTTCTTGATATCCCATTGCCAGTTAGACCATTTGGAAGCAACATTGCGTATAACAGTGTGGTAATATATAAAGTATAGAGTGAGATCTAAAATACCATTTTTATATTTGTATACAAGAAAAAAAATTTTTTTCGTAGGAAGAAGCAATTAGAGCATTTGTTCAGTATGAAACATTAGAAGGAACTAATCAGTATCATTGTGAAAAGTGTAACAAAAAATGTGATGCACATAAAGGATTAAAGTTTACAAAGTTTCCATATTTGTTAACTTTACATCTCAAGCGATTTGATTTTGATTACAAAACTTTTCATAGAATCAAGCTTAATGATAAGTATGTAAACTGTATGCAATATTATATTAATTTAGTAAAAACTGCTATTTAGCTTGCATCTTTATCTAAACTATGTTATTGCAGAGTCACGTTCCCAGACATATTAAATTTAAATTCCTTTATCTCGTCCACAACGAGTCAAGAATCCCCTGGTGGTGAGGAAGATATTGGCTTAGGTATCAAATGCGATGATAGTTCTACAACGGATAGCGGTACTTTAGATGACGATTGTGCACCGTGCGACAACAGTCTTTTCAACAGTAATCATTCAGGCAATCATGATCCAGATGAAGGTATAACATTAGAATATCATCATTTATGGAAACAATTTTCAGAATTATTAGAGGATATATATGTCCACCTTCAGGTATCGATATGAGCAATGGACCATCGACGTCGAGTTGTACTACGCATAATCATGAGAATGAAAATAATCGTAGTACTTATACGCTAGGAAAAGGTCCATATATGTATGAACTGTTTTCAATTATGATTCACAGCGGCAGTGCGAGTGGTGGCCATTATTACGCTTATATAAAGGATTTCAGAACACAAGAATGGTTATGTTTTAATGACCAAAGTGTAACTCAGGTATGAAAAGCAGTTTTGTAAAAGCTTATGTTGAATGCTTGATTATTGGAAATTTTTTTCATTACAATTTTGATTATAATTTTAGATAACTCACGATGACATCCAGAAAACATATGGTGGTGGACCATCAAGGGCATATTATAGTGGTGCATATAGCAGCAGCACAAACGCATATATGCTTATGTATAGGCAAATTGATCCTATTCGTAATACTTTGCCTATGCAAACCCAAGATTTTCCACGACATATTCAAGTATGTAATTAAAGTAAAAATTAGAATTTAGATATAAATTTGTATTGTATGGATTGGTTCGAAAAATTCGAGATAAAAACGTCTGAAATAAAACGTAAAATAAAACGAAAAATAAAATAATTTTTATGCTTTGAATGGGATCAATGATTAAACTTTGTTCGATTTATAATTTGAGTTGCAAAGAAGTTATTTTTAATAAAAACAATATTGAATAAATAATATTTGAAATTATCATAGCATAACTTTTGGCAATAGTCTCTTGAAATTTTCAGAAAAAAATACTATTATTTAAAATTATCTCGTGTATTTTAAACTTTTTTTACAAACAGCTTATATAATTAATTTAATTATTTTTCTCCAAGATTTTTTAAAAGCGTTTTGTCATGTTATTTATAGGAGTTATTGAAAAAAATGAAAGAAAATGAAGAAAAAGTAAATAAATTATTGAAAAAAATGAAAGAAAATGAAGATAATGATAGAAAAAATTGTGAGAAACAAATGTCCATACCTAGGTTGATAATATACTGTCACCATCCGGTAGAAGGAAGATTGATGAATATTAAATCCTGTGTCATGTCTGACATTACGTGGGCTGAGGCAACAGAGAAAGCATATAAGAGATTTGGCCTCGAAAATGTAGTGAGTCTAGATCAATGTCGCTTAGTTAGTTATGACCATAATACGGATTCAATAGAATGCAGTTACGATGATCGAGAGCACGAATCTGTTGGAAGTATATGGCGTTTTTCACGTCGATTCGATTTATTGTTAGAAATTCGTCGCAAAGATCAAAAGTTTGAGACATATTTACCAGGTGGTAAGTACACAATTGGATGGGGAGTATACACAATTCGATGATGGATATAGCTAATTTGATATTGTAGGAGAACTTTAAATCTATTTAAACTTTTTTAATATTATATTTCAGGGGTTGCAACTAAGGTATTTGTCATAGATGTAGCCAGAGAGGAGGTAATTGATGGTCCGATCGATATTCGAGGTTCTTTGTCACAAAGTGTTAAAGAGTATAAACAAATCGTAGGAAAAATTATTAATATGGATCCTAAGCAAATGAAAGTAATATTGCGAAAGCATCCAGAGACTAGACCTGTGGAAAATGATGATAATGATCTTCAAACTGAAGGATTTTATAATGCAAATAAAGTATTCATATCAACAATGTATGATATAGATAATAACAAACCATTTCAAGAATCAACAGTATACAGAGTCATAGAAAATTTTAGATACGTTATTTCATTGCATGTCCAGTTACCAGACATCAGCAAAGGTAATTTATATAACTTAAATAATATGGAATATATATATGTTTATGTGATTTAATTTGACTATCTAATATATCTATAAAGATAGCATGAAATTGTATAATTATTATAAAAAATATAATTATTATAAAATAATTATAATTATTAATAATAATTTTATAATAAATATTATTAATAATTATTATAAAAAATATTAAATTTATATTAGACAATAGTTATTCTTCAATTGTAATTATTAAATTATAAAAATTCTAATTTTATGTACAGAAACATTGGAAGAATTGAATATCCCTTTATTAGATGATAAACATGAGGAAAAAGAGAAACCCGTTAGCAATGGTTCACCTAAATTGTGCATTCCTGAATCACATTGGGACATCAATTTGAAATACAATGAAAATTCAAAAGGTTGTACACGAAGTAACGAGGATACCACCATTCGAAATATAAGTCCTCAGTTAGGCGAAGCTGAGGAGTGGAATACACCTGAACAGAGTAATAGCGAAGATAGTAGCCTTAGCGATAGCGATAAAACGTTAGTTGGCGATGCACCGGAAGGTGTCGACATTGAACCGCAATCGTGGCATAGGCACTATAGAGATTATAAAATTTCAAAGCAATTCGAAATAGAAAATTGGGACATCGATGACGACTCTGATTACTACTTTAGAGCTACGCCGTATACAGATAGTACTCAACAAAAATGTATGCTCTCGAATTCAACTTTTTTCTTCGTGATTGAGTGTCTGGTTTTCTTTTTTTTTCAATTTAATTATTTTTTCTCTTTACAGTACTTAAAGTATTGGTGGATAAAAGAATGAGATTAAGCACTTTAAAAAAAGATTTAGAACCGTTCGTAAATGTACCTGTAGATTATTTTAAAATTTTTCGTTTATCGAATTCCGGTGAATCAGAATGTAGCTGTTTAACAGAACAACTTAATTCGTACGAGGATGGTGAGAGACTTAATGTGGAACTCGGACGAGCCTTACGTAGCGGGGAATTTAAAGTAAAATTATATCAACTATTGATCGATTCCGCTGAGGTTTGTCCCATTTTTTTTTATATTTTATGTCTTCATTGTTATAAACAAATGCTACACAAAATTTGTATACATTTGTCTTCACATAAATGTTATATTGAAATTATTATAATTTTTTTTTTATTAAATATTTAAAATTTTTTATTATTAGCCTTACAAATTTTTATGCGAATGGATCGTCTCAAAAGATATGACGATCGGGCATGCGAAAAAAGAGATATTGGCAGAAATAAAGAGAAAATATGATATAGACATACCATACGAAAGATGTCGGCTTAGGAAAAAATATTATAAGACTGCTTCAAAAATATTCCTAAATGAACAGAAATTCGAGGATCTTCGATTTCACTCGCAATTTGAAATGATTATTCAAGAATTACCAGATAAAGAAACAGTCACAAATACCAATCAGATCGTCCTGTTTGTCAGAAGGTGGTTACCAGCAGACCTGCAACTAGAACAATTTCAAGAAATTGTCATGGATAACAGAACCGTAGAAGAATTAAAAAAGAAGGTAAATCATATAAAATTTCTTTTTACAAATAAAAAGGAGCACACATAAATTTGTGTTTTTATAAAGATAAAATGAAGTATATAGATTGTCATTGCTCTTTTCTAGCTTTCCTTAATATCAGATATTCCAGAAGAATATATAGATATAGCAAAGGGAAAAGGTAATTTTCCATGTGACAATTGTTCTGTGCTTCGAATTCAAAATGAGCTTGATTGGAACGAACATCACGATAGTTTAGCTTTCAATTTTGAAGATGGTGCCGTTTTCTTATATAGGTATTTATGATATTTTTAGATACTATTGAGTAATGTTTTTGGATGATTTTCTAATCTCAATATTTTTATCTCACATAATTTTCTTTTAGGGATAATAGGGAAAAACCAAAACAGTTAAATGCTAATGAGGTACTGCAAATCGCTTTTAAGGAAAATTCACGTTTAACACCACTTACTACCGCTTCAAGTTACAGTCCACGTCGAGAGAGAGCACTTAAAATATATTTGGATACCGAATGATTGTTCATAGAGAAAGAGCACGCGTCTCTTAAAAACAAATTACTAAATAGGCAGGTGTGTAAACACAAAACATTTGCACATAAATTGTTTGTATATTGGGTATTTGTGAAATCGGCATGTCATCAAATACTATATATTTTGTGTTTCAATAAGTTTTCAGCATTTCAAAGCTTTCGTGTTTCTAAGGATTTTCGATTTTTCTTTGAAACTACTGAATTTTTAAGACTGTTTGAATTCATGAATTGTTATATAGCAATACATAATTCGGAATCTTGGTATCCATATCTGATTTCGAGATTTCTAGAATTTATATGAAATATAAAATATAATATGCGGTATATCACTTGGTCTGTTATATTAATTTTCTATTTTTAAAGTCAATAGCACACATAATTAGCCATAAACAATCTAATAATATGGTAGCAAGCGAAGTTTTTGATACAAATTTAATGAAAATTCATATGCGAATTATTGATTTGTATTATAATTTGTATTTCTTTAATTTTTATATATCTTAATATATGCTAGATATTTTTTTTATTTTTGTTAATATAGTTATATATATCTAATATCATTTAAAAACTACACTGTATATAAAAACTTTTATACTGACAATATTTTTTTGTCACTTTTCTGGCACAACGATGATTAATTCACATTCTTTAAGCATATTAGGTTTTCAAATTTGCTACTTCAGATTAAAACTGTTTTGGAAATTATTTTTTTAATCTAAAATGTATGACAACATTATCCTAGCGATGTATTATGTATCAAATTATTTGGGTATAATCAATCATGTTATACGTATCAAATATATGATTCTTTTTTAATTAATTATATTTACCCAATATCTAAGTTTATATTTGAAAATAACAATATTTTTTTAAAAAGAAATCTTGCAAGAAACGGATTCTATTATACATATTTTTATAAATTATATCTACACACATTTTTTTTTCATTTTGTTATAAAAATATAAGAAAACATTACTATTGAGTTAATTTATTTCTATTATTGATCTTTTTAATTTATGATATATATTTTATGATGTATACATATCTCTTATTATATTTGAACTTTTTTTTTTCAGTAAGTCATAAATATAAAAAATACTTTTTTCTAAGGAATTACACATGAAGTTTCTTTTTGTTTATGAAAGTATGAATCACATTTATTGCCTCAATTGCTAATATCTTTTGCTTGAAACCATTGGTCTTGAAATCTGTTTTCCTATGACACTCCAATGATTTTTTTCTCATAAAGATGAAAATTGATAAACTAGATCAAGTGATGCTTTAATAGTTCTATTTGTTGTATCTTTATTTATTTTGTTATCCTCTATTAATGTTTTATTTATCGCCTGAAACTAGATTTAAATATTGTTTGATTGTTTTTATAATCGCTGAACGAATGAAAAATATTAATGCTGATGCTATCTTTTAGCAAGATAGATAACAATAAAGTAGTGAATTATACATTTGATTTTTTGTGAATAAGTTAATTGTAAGATTATGATATACATCTCTCTTGATAGGATTGTAATTTGAAACTTTCCAATCATCAGCGATCAAATATTATTCTCTGTATAATACACTGAATGAAATTATGTGTGAAACAAATTATATTTATAATTATTAACAATGAAATATTGAAATGTCTAAGTATTGTTTAGATATACAATTACCTATTTTAAAAACCTTTATCCTTAGCCACTCATAATCAGAAATATATTGAAGATATTAAAAGTAATATCTCTCAATAAAAGTATTCAAAATCTTATCCCTATTATAATGAGAGATATTTATATTATATAATATAGTATACAAATATAATACAGTATATAAAATAAAAAGCGATAAATAAAAATTTAATTAATATTCCTAATACATAAGTCTAATTAAATTCTGCATTAATTAGTGTAGCATTAATCCATGATGAGAGATTAAAATTATTCCAAATAAATTAATAAATAATCATATTTTTATAAATATTTTAATAAATAATTATATTTTTTAATTTATATATATATATATATTTTGTAATATATATATATAGATAATTATCAAGCATTATTGAAATCGAAATATTTGTTCGCTGCTGTTGCTGATTGCCGCTGCTGAAAAAGAAAACAAAAAGAGAACGCAACATGTTGCCTATTATTGTGCACGATTTATTTAGTCGAATAATCCTTGCCGATTCGCTTGATTGCTTGATATGTCGAACCGCGATACAGTTCAATAACCTAACTTAATCTATAAAACGCGTAGCAAGTATTTGCATATAAAAATCTATGACAATGTATGTGTAAAGGTCTATACATCCATTCTACATTATCAAAATTAGTATATACAAATTAGAATATATATACATTATTATAGTTATTCAATTACGTTTGTTAATTTATTCACAAGCAGCTAACGCTTGTTTGATATCGGCTACGACATCCTGTTCCGTTTCGATACCGACAGATAATCGAATCAATTTATCTGTTATACCTAATGCAATTAGCACATCTTCGGGTAGAGATGCAGGCGGCATACTGTATCTATGTAAGAAAAATTTATTAATACGTATATAAATACTTAATGTCAATTAATTTTGTGTACTTACGGTAATTTAATCACCGACTCATATCCTCCTAATGAGTCGGCTAAAGTGAAGACCTTTAATGCTTTTAAAAACTTTTCTGTATCACCTTTCAAATAGAAGGAAATCATACCGCTGTGTCCAGTTGTTTGTTTGAGCGCCAACTCATGCTGTGGATGCGACGGGAGATCTACAACGATACGAGTGCCTTATCTAGATATTTTATCAAATATTTTATCAGATATTAAATAAGTATTAAAGCATCTTGTTATATAATAGAGATAAAGAAAAAAGAATGTATATATACAAGGATGAAACACTCGCTCGACGCAAGGATGAGACTCCAGGAATTTTGCTATTGCCAAGGCGTTTTTCATGTGTTGTTGCATTCTAAGTTCGAGTGTTTTCAAGCTGCGGATGACCATAGAGCAGTCAAAGGGCGATGGAACAATACCCACAGCTGGATTCCAAAAACATGTTATATAAAACTTTCAAAAACATTTTTAAGTATTACTTAGAAGTATTTACCGTTTTGAAAGAATCGTAACTTTTCCGCGAGATCATCTCGGCGCGTAATTGCAGCTCCCATAGTGATGTCTGAATGGCCATTCATATATTTTGTTAGCGAATACATAGATATATCAGCACCAAGTTCAAGTGGCTTCTGTTTTAAAAAAGTATATTTTTATATATCATATAGTTTCTATTTATATACATTAAATATTTTTTTCAAAAAATTGTGAGCTGAACTTGCCTGAAAATAGGGTGTCAAGAATGTATTATCGATGACTAGAATAATATCTGGACGACGAGACTTTAAGCTATCAGCAATAGCTTTAATGTCTCCAAGTTTCAATAAAGGATTTGTTGGTGATTCCAACCATATCATCTGTATATTATGCAAAATACAAAAAAAAATGAAATCAAATGTTAAAAATTCCATGTATATAATAATATATACTTAAAGTAAAATTAAATTCAAAAGCAAAGTAAGAAAGAGAATAATATTTAACCTTTGTATTTGGTTGTATTGCACTTATAACATTCTCTACTTTAGTCACATCTACAAGGGAATATGTGATACCATGATTGCTTAAACATTTTTCAATATAATTGCTAGTTCCATGATAAAGATTATCTCCAGCGACAAGATGATCTCCTTTTTGCAATAAAGAAGTAATTCCAGTTACTGCACCTAAACCAGATGAATAGGTAATACCATGTTTCCCCTCTTCGAGAGCAGCCAGGCATGTCTCTAGCACATCACGTGTTGGATTGCCAGATCTACCATAATCGTAGCCCTTAATTAAAATTAAAATGCTGTTATACATATATTATATTTTTTTGAAAACAAAATATTGCATACAATTTGTTAGCTACAATTGATGCTGATGATAGAATAAAAAAGACCAATTGCTATCAATTAAGAGCTATGTATCGAGTTAGAGATAAATTTTAGTGAATTATTCATGTATTTTGAGCTTACCCTATGCTGACCTGGACTATCCTGCTGAAATGTTGTGGACATTACCAAAGGTGTCACAAGTGAACCATGATTCCACTGTAATGGATTTTGTCCTGCATGAATAGCTTTGGTAGCAAAACCTCTAGTTTCAGGCACTCCATTTGAAGCCATGATCTATTTAATAAAAATTTTATTACAAAGATAGTTTATCAACTGCATATATTATCTGATAATCAGATTTAAAGCTACACATAAAGATATATTTAATGTTTTTAGATTACATTTGTTTTCATCTGTAGTGTCTTAATCATATACGAGTTACATATCAGTTTTGTCTCAAAATATTTTTAAAAAATTTATATATATTTCTTGCATCTGTAGAAAATGACTGTGTATAATAAAAATTAAAAAATAAATTTTTTATTGATATACTTTTTATTATAAGATCTTCAGGATGTTCTATTGTTAAAATATCGATAGGATTAAAATAATATATGTGATCTTTAAGAATTAAAAAGAATTAAAATTCAAATTAGAAAATTAATGATTTTCTTTGTTAATAACAAAAATATTATAGAAATCAACATTTTCTTTCGAGATTATAATATTTATCGATATATTAAAACTTTTTTCAATTATATATTATTATATTTTAATTTTAGCAATAAAACACGAATTCCCATTTTTCTTAATATTTTTTTTACATTCGTTTTCTGGCGTTTGTCTCGAAAAACGTGAATATATAATTATTATTTTCTGTGGAAGTTTGCATTCCATAAAATTTACTTCCTGGAATAGAATTCGACTGACAAATATGGACAAAAGAAACACCTTTTTTTTATTCTTCAATCCAGAAAGTGCAGCTTAAAGTTGCGTGATAATAGGACTACTTTTTTTATTCTAATCGCATATTTGAGCGACGAAATCAGAATTTTTTAATAAAACAAATGAAGGAAAAATCTTTTCAGAGATCTTTACCGATAAAAGACTTGATGTCGTTGATGTTGATTTCGTTGAATATCGATGAACGTCGACTGAATGACTTGTTATTGCGATAGCAATTTATAAGTCTCGCGAAATTGATAATTTTCTGCATGGCAGATAAAAAAACATAAAGAGGATAGCATGTGACACTCAGCATAACACCAACACCAGTAGCGGGATTCTCTAAAGGACTGTCTACAATAGCAGTAGCAGTAGATCGTAGCAGTCATAAGCAAAATGAATCAAATCCATTTCTTACGGCTACGATGTATGTTCTACGGCGAACGCGTAATCAGAATTAAGAACGTAGAATTCTTCCGTGACTGCGTATGCCGTAGAACGCACGAAATCCGTAGGAAATGGATTTGATTCATTTCGCTTACGCTGCTACGACCTACTGCTACTGTCATTGTAGACGGTCCTTAACGTCTGAGCGATAAATATCGCTATTGTTAACTGTATTTATCGATCTATGATTGATATATATTTTTAGATTTAAAAATATATATCAATCAGAGATTGATAAGTACATTTAATGATATAACGACATTTGTCGTTCAAACGTTAAGCGGCCTTTTCATTGACGCTACTTTTTAGCGTCAATGAAATTGCATTTTAACAGTTGGCAGCCCTACGAGATAGGCTGTGCAGCACTGCGCGTATATAAAATAAATTTGAAATCGCTTCTAGCCTAACCATCTTCACGCGATCGACTTTATTTGAATTGCACGGCATCGCATCGAATTATGATGTGGCGCCGATTTGTTCGAACGTAATTCGAGACATCGCGATGCTGTATAAGCGTCGAATGAGCACGAATTGTCACGCAAATATGATAAATCACATCTACTCACCGTTCACCGGCTGTTTCACAGGCCGCTCCACTCGCTCGCCTCGGGACGTCCCATTCCGATCTTGATGCACACGATATCATCAACGTGAACGCGCGACACTTTATTCGGCACTCCCGATATTCGCTCGCATCCGATAATCATCATCAAGGGCGCAAATAACGCGACGCGACTTCGCTCCATCTTCGCGATCGCGCTATCACTGAACTGTGAAAAATAGCTGTCGCGCACTTTCACCGACATATTATGAAAGTTGCGCGATCATCCTTGGACACTTTCGACACTCTTTCACTCGCGATATTCGTTTAAAAACGGTTAAAAGATGCGAAAAATGCGGACGTACGACGATCCGTGTAACTGCGTATGACTCCGATTCACGTATGACGCGTATGACGTAGCAGTGACGTGTATGACGTAGCAGCACGCGCTAACATGGCGGCCAAACCAGTGCGCAGAAACGAATGCGCAGTGGTTCGGCCGCCATGTTAGCGCGTGACTGCTACGTCATACGCGTCATACGTGAATCGGAGTCATACGCAGTTACACGGATCGTCGTACGTCCGCATTTTTCGCGTCTTTTAACCGTTTTTAAACGAATATCGCGAGTGAAAGAGTGTCGAAAGTGTCCAAGGATGATCGCGCGACTTTCATAATATGTCGGTGAAAGTGCGCGACAGCTATTTTTCACAATTCAGTGATAGCACGATCGCGAAGATGGAGCGAAGTCGCGTCGCGTTATTTGCGCCCTTGATGATGATTATCGGATGCGAGCGAATATCGGGAGTGCCGAATAAAGTGTCGTGCGTTCGCGTTGATGATATCGTGTGCATCAAGATCGGAATGGGACGTCCCGAGGCGAGCGAGTGGAGCGGCCTGTGAAACAGCCGGTGAACGGTGAGTAGATGTGATTTATCATATTTGCGTGACAATTCGTGCTCATTCGACGCTTATACAGCATCGCGATGTCCCGAATTACGTTCGAACAAATCGCCGCCGCATCATAATTCGATGCGATGTCGTGCAATTCAAATAAAGTCGATCGCGTGAAGATGGTTAGGCTAGAAGCGATTTCAAATTTATTTTATATACGCGCAGTGCTGCACAGCCTATCTCGTAGGGCTGCCAACTGTAGAGAATCCCGCTACAGAGAGTAGACTGAGAGGTGTCATGGCCCGGAAATAAGTTAGCGTTGGAAGTGCATAATTTTTAATAAACTATAGCTCAAACGATTGCTCCTTAATTGTTCCTCTTCTAAAATTAATAGTTTTTTTTAATATTTGCAAAAAAACAAAATTGGTCATTTTTACTGAAAAACATATTTCTAATGATTTTCGGCAATTATATCCGGTATAAAACGATTGCTCCCTAATTGCTTCGCGTTGCTTCATCGTATAATTAACAATTATTGCATTTTTTATCGAAAATTAATAAATAAATCATTTGACTAGTGACGTCGCCACCTATCGGCCACTTATCGAAACTAAATGTTTTAATAGTTTCGGCACAGATTGTGGCGGGTCATGACATATCTCAGTCTTCTCTCTGCTATAGTGTTGTTAGTTTACTTTCTCTTTATCTTATTTTCTTTGATCATATACACGTGTGTGCATCGTACACTTTATTTGTATAATAAAGATTCTACTTTGCAAGTGTCACAAGAATTATATTTATTTATATAGTAATATTGTGGGAAAATATATAAAGAGTCCACATAAAATTGTACATAATGACACGAAGCGATACTGTGATTACTAAGGTACTAATAATTTGATTATCATGTTATCTTTTGAATAAGAATTTATGCAAGATCACAGCTTGAATTTATATTTTTAGATGGAACACGTGGAAGAGAGTTTAAAAGATACTTTATACAGAGTTGAAGTAATTGAAAAAAAGTTAAGAACGAAATTACTTACTACAGACAATCGTGAAAGATTGGAAAACGAATTAAAAGAAGTTAAAGAAGTTCTTAGGAGAAACGAGAAAAAATTACAGAATTTAAGGAAAGAAAATTCAAAATCTTTTATAGTAGCGATGTGTTTAGCTTTAATGTGTTTTCTTGTCTATGGAATTTATCTGATGATTTTTAATAACATTTAATGATTATATATTATTAGGGGAGAAATATTGCGATATTATCTGTTTTATAAATTTTATATAAAATATGCTTATCAAGTTATGATTATACAATTCGTAATTTACCAATATCAAATTTTATATATATTAAATATAAATATATTTTAGATTTATATAGTTTATATGCAACAATTTGCATATCTAATATGTGTGTGTGTGTGTGTGATATATATATATATATATATATATATATATGTGTATACTAAGTAAATAAATATACAAAACCATGTATGCAATATTTTATGTAAAAGGAATTTTTATCTTCATGTTCACCATTACAATTAATATGATAAGATAAATGTTTTTTTCTTTCACAAAGTTAACACTTTAGATTTTAAATATTGCACATATACAGTTAACGCTTATTTTAGATTTTAGATATTGCACACAAACATTAATTTTGCAAGTATATACTTTTGCTATAGAAAATTTGTTGTATTGAATCAGTGTTATGTAAAGAAGTAATGAATCAAACTCAAGAGAGTAAAACTTAAGTTTAAACTCTCTTAAGAGATTATTAGATTATTAGATGGAATAGCCTTTGTAATTGAATCACTGTCTTTAGCTATTAACTATTAAGTCATACTGAGGTGTCCCAGCTATACGACTACGTATGTACTTGGCGTGTGTTTCAACATCCAGAAAGCTGCCACGTACTGCAGGGTCTTCTTTCATTGCATTCCTCCATTCAAGCTATATCATATAAGAATTTATATTATAATCCATTTTAAATATTATACACTATCTGCCAATATTTTATATATATATATATATATTTTCATTACCAGTCTCAGGAAACGTTCTCTTGGTATGACAAACTGCTCTCCCCGTATAATTCTTATCACATCTGCTCTTTCACACCATGGCCATATCATAAAGTCTAACATACCAGGCTTGCTTCCTCCAAAAAAGGGACTTCCTCTTTTTGCCAATTCCTGATCAAAAAGTTCTAAACCATTTAATGCTTCATTAAATACATCTTGCTCTAGTGTTGGACCTAAATAAAATACCTACAAAATAAATATAATAAATTCACACACATACAAAATGTACAAATACATTGATAAATAAAGAGGATATATTTTCAAACTTAAAAGAAATACCTTATATATAGTTGTTATTACTGCATTAAATCTATCAATTAATAATTTATCTTTAGCTTTTGCTAAAGGATTACTTGGATATAATTTATTTTGAGGATATACATCATCCAGGTAATCGGCAATAATTAGGCTCTCATATAATGTTTCTCCTCCTTCTAATTCAATGCAAGGGACTTTATTCAATGGACTTTTTTCTATTAACCAGTCTGGCTTGTGTGTTAGATTCACATACACAATATCATATCTAAACATGTGTAAAGATTATACATTTATATATAAAATTTCATATGTAAACATATGAAATTATTTATGTTTAGCGATTAAAAAAATTACTTATGAATTGTTTCCTTTCAAAGAAGAGGCTTAATATTTTAAAAAGTAATAACAGTTTATATTAAACTATATTTCTATATTAGACATTATAAAGTAATTCTTTGTAAAGCATTATTAAAAAATTGTATATAATTATTATGATTATTATATATGTATTTAGAATATATATTTGTATATATATCATAAAAATTTAAATAAGAAAAAAAAGAATATATATATATATATATATATATATATATATATATATGCATGTATGTATATGCATATTTAAATTTCTTTCAAATAAAAATTAAAAAAAAACCTGATAATATAATTTAAAAAAAAAGCATCACAAATATGCTTACGGAATTTGTTTAGCATCCAGCACGAGATGTATTCTTTGCGCGTATGGGCAAAAACGCATACTATACAAACGTATTTTTCCAGGTACGAGTGGCGGAAGCACCGATCCTAAAAAAAAAAAAACAAAAAGAATTGCGTAATTTTGTAATGAATTATGTTCTCGTTAATTTACCATGATATATTGCGCACAATCTGTAGAATACAAAAAAATAAATATTTTTCTTTTACCGGTACTTAAGTGTCTTGTAGTCATTTTGATTCTCGTTATTAGTTGTCGAACGTCCAAAAGAGACTCGTCTGCCGTCTAAATAACGCTTAACATTTCGTTATCCTCGGCCGGGTCGAGCAATAAATATCAATGACAGTCCGAAGCTGAGAACTCCTTTACAACTCTACGTGGAAATATTGGTGTCGTGGCATGAGAGAAAGATAGAAAGAGAGATAGAAAGAGAGAGAAACTTTCATTTCTTTATAATGAAGCACATGTGCGCCTTCTATGTTCATTGACTTCTCATTTCGTATCTTTTTCTCATCTATCTGGCATTTTCCGACAGCGTTATACGATTATCTGCGAGACACGCGTAAGAACGGTAGTCAGGATTACGAGAAATTAAAATAAAATTCACTTATGCATGTATGTTTTCGCTCCCTATCGCCACACGATAAGGAAACGGTAGATAAAATTAGCGCTCTGTAATTATTCTCGGATCATTTACCAATAGATGATAATAGATATTTACAGATAATATACCTAGATAGCGCGTCGAGTGTTTTTTGGCGCCAATAATTAACAAGAATGGTTAGTAACTCTGCAGTTGCCTAGCAACCAGTAACAAGACTGGTCCAATCTCATCCTTATATTTCTTAGTTTAAAGAAGATTAAAGTGAGTGATTATAATTTGATAAAAGAAGAGTAAGATTGCGGAAGGGAAGCAAAGATTAGAAGAGAAAGAGAGTTTGTAGAAAGAAGATTATAAAAGGTAAGATTTCAAGAGAAAAAGTTATCGATAGTAAGATAAATATGCGAAATGGAAAATATATAGGGTTCTACCGCTCACCCATGCACATCCTTTTTTTAAAAAAGAATATAGTTATTATAGTAGATGTTATTGTTATAATATTATAAGTAAATATTATTGATTATACTAAAATGAGATATATAATGGAATAATTATAGTGAGATTTCGAGTGACATATGCAACAAGAATTGCGGTTAAAAATTAAAAAATTTTGTCTCGAGCATGCGCGAGGACAAATTCAATTTCCTTGTTTAAAAGCTCGAATCGAGATATGTACATTTCGCAATTTCAATTTTAATCGATACATACTTTTCACTTTTATCGTGGAATAATATTTTTGAGAACCATAAATGAGAAAAAGATAGAACAATTATTTTCATAGTTAGCACGTAAAATGGCGCATAAAGCTGTATCAGTTGCCACTCATTCCACAACTTAATAAAGCTAAAGCGTCGAACATAATTAACTATTCATTTCTTGTAAAGTTCAGTTTGCATAAGTAACGTTTTGTTGCAATATCGTTCCCGCGTGAACAATTCAATTAATGAAGAGCGAACGGATAACTCATTTTCCGCGTCGAAGCCCGCGAGGAAGACACGAGTCTCTACAATACATTATTGCATTCGCCCGCGGTGTATATGCATCTTGAAGTCGAGTAATATACACGAGAAGATAGATATGGAACGGGGGCGGTTTTTGCTTATATGAGTGGAGGAGCGTATTTCGTATAAGTGGAGGCGGTGTTGATAGCGCTAACGGCGTCGAAGAAGGATACACACGAAGGTAGAGTCGGTGATGGAGGAATGGTATGGAGGTGGCGTAGGTGTTAGGTAAAGCTCGTGGCGATGGTAGTCGTAGCTAGCGCTACACAAAATACCACGAAGAGAAAGAGAGAGAGAAGGGGGTGAGAGGGTGAGTAGGTGAGAGGGAGAGAGAGAGAGAGAGAGAGAGAGAGAGAGAGAGAGAGGGTGGGTAAGGGGTAGAAAACGAGGTGGAAGAGGATGTGGAGGAACGGCGCGGGCGCTGATTGGTAGCAGAATCGATTAGCCAAGCCGAGCTAAACCTCCGGTACCGCGGCATGGTTCGGCGTGGCGACGCCGCGAATTTCCCGAATGGGGGTTTCCCGTTGGGGCGGACCTCGCCGAACCCGTACAACACCCTCCCGGCCCTCTTCTCCATGGCAACCCGACCAATTCGCCAACCGCCGGCAACCAAGACTGACCTACCGTGTGTTGCTCGGCTTATTTTTCTCTCCTATCTTGCCTCCGCGTACCTCTTCCCTTCCCTTCCCTTCTTCATCCTCCTCCTCCTCCTCCTCCTCCATCGCGCTCCGCAACTTTGTTCTTTGTGCCTCCGCGTCGTTCCCTTTGTCTCTTTTTTTTTTTACTCCCGGTTTCGTTTACACACACGCGTTTACGCACACGTAAGGCATAGGGGTGGGAGAGAAAAACTGCAAAATCTCCCTCCTTTTTTTGTTCGTTTCTTCTTCGATTGCTCTTCGTTTCCCCCTTGTTCGCTCTGTCTCTTCGTTTAGATAAATGTTTCTTTCGTACACGATCAAAAAAGGCAAACGTAAATGTATAGAGAAATGGGAGCAACATTGATTTTGCCAACGACTGATACAACCCCGTCGGCACGTTTAATTAGAACATGGCGACTTTAATACAAGCGCACGACAACAAGAACAACAACAGCGCTCCCCCGATCTCCCCGGATCGCGATTCCCGCGATTCTCATCTCTATTCCGTTGTGCTTTCTCCAGTTCCGTTATCACGCTAACGATGAGAAACGAAGTGTCCTTCGGTCTTCGAGAGGGGGGATGTAGGGAGGATCGCTTATCTACCTAATCTAACGCGTTCTACGCTAGCGCCAGACACACGTCCCTCGTTCATCCATCACTGTCGTCGTCATCGTCATCATAGTCATCGTAGTTATTATTATTCGTCTCCATTCTCGAAATCACGCCCACTCGACACACGCGCGCGAATCTTGTATACATACATAATACATACACACATATATACGCAACGCTCTCGTCATCCTCGGCATCCTCTCTTCGTCGCATTCTCCCGCTAAGACTAAATTTTCTACACGCCTACGCTACACATGAAAACACCCTATCTACATGAGCGCCCTTCACGCTCACGACCCCTCCGGACCGATCCGGAAACTGCTGGATATCGTTCCCCGTCGCGGTGCCGATCGCACGATCGGTCCCATGGGTCGCGCCAAGGGCCGCGCTAATCGCTTAAAATTACTCTAGGAATGCTTAAGGTCTCACTTATGAGTAATATGGTACACATCTTAAGGAGTTACGCTTCTTCGACACAAGGTACGCCTTTTTTTTCGAGGACGGACTGCCGACACGCGATTAAATCGATAAAAATAATGCGTTGACCATCTTGCAAAGGAAAATCGTACCTCTCTTCGTTTTCCCAAAGTTGTAGATCGGACGTTATTTTATCTTTAATGTTTCTGACTTTTAAAAACTTTTAAATGCATTACAGTACTTACGTTATCGGGGAAAGATTAATGATAAGCAATGCCAATTAGAAAAAAATTGTGTGATTTAATCTATTTATAAATCGAGATTTCATTATCAATTCTGATTTAATGCATTTATAATGTCAGATACTTTAGACATATTTAATCAATTGTTTTGCTTTACTTTATTCAAAATATAATAGAGATTTTGCATTTTTATTCGAATGTTTAAAGTCTCCATTTATACTTTTGCTTTTCATTTCAATTCATACATTATTATTATAATTAGAAAAAAGATTTAAATTCAAAATGACAAGATTAAGCATTCAAATAAAATAGATTATATATTACAAATGAAAACATTTTCCTTATTTTTAAATGATCTTAATTAATTATCGACAGTAGATTCAACAAGTAGATTTTCAAATCATTTTGTGATTGATAATAAGATTGATAATAAAATATAATTTATGAACTTTATTTTTAATTTCGAATAAGTTATTAGAGAGATTGAATGATAATTTTTTTTTCTTGAGAAATCCACAATATACTTTTTCTAGCTAATATGATATTCTTAATGTTAAACAGAAAGATTTAATGTTCCGATACTCGACATGTAATTATTTCTAAATTATATATCTCGAAAGACTTCTTTCTCTTTTTCCTCTTTCTTTTTCGAGATTAGATTAGAAACAGCTGTGTTATTTATGCGCTCACATGTGATACGACAACCCTTGCTCCGAATTACAGCATGCGTTTAGTTTGCATGCTCCGTCTGATCGAATTCGGTTTCGGCAATCCATCCTTTATATCGACATGGGTAGAGCGGCCACATATCTCACGTGATTCTAAAAAGGATGGCGTAAAAGTTCGATTCTGATTTGCGTGTGCCGTCGATTGATATGACTTAAACGTTGTACTTTTCTGATTATCGTCTACATATCTCACGATGACGGATGATGAGGGTGTACGGTAACGCGGTTTCGTTGTAAAATTACGTCAAAGGAACGAGCGCGAATCACGCTTAAGTGAACCACCGACATATGCTGACGAATAACGTAGCCGTATAAACACTATATGCGCTCGATAATCGTTTCTCGCACGCTCGTCGCTCGATTCATTCCTATGTAGCGTCTCTACCCATTTCTCACGTAACAAATAAGTTAAAAGAATTTATGATACATGGGGCTTATTAGCTTTGGTCTGAATCGAACATGAATACATTCCGCGAACAAGCGATCGCGAAGCCCCGTTCTTGAAATCGAGATGCACGACTTTTATATAAATGTGAGGGGTGACGTTTTATTTCGATGTACACATGCTCGATTCAGTCCAATCGTAAACGCCGATAGTACTCGTGAAATTTTATCGGCTTCTTATTCGTGAGTTTCCTTTTGGACCAAACGATTTCGCATATTCATTTTACCGCCGTTATCAATTATTTATTATTTTATTCTCGGAAATAAAGTAACTCCGTAAAATGACATCTGCATAAAACACTTAGATAAAGAAATATGAAATGCATGACTAGATAAGATGAAAAATGAAAGAAAAGAAAAGAAAAAATCGAAAGAGAAATACAAGATTTTTCTAACAAGGTTTTTTGTTAAATTACATGTTCTATTACTTAAAATATGTTACTAGCAAATTATAAAGAAGAACTAATTTTCTTTGGTATCGATATTTGGCAAGAAATTATTAGAATTGATTTCACCTATCAAAAAAAAAAACCCACAGAGTCAGAAAATTTTCGAGAGCACGTTCTTTCGATGCGCACGTGTCTCTTACAAAGTGACACCACAGCAGTAACGGTAAAAAGATTCATGCGAATTATCTCACGGATGCACACACCCTGTGTTACTAACGTAATGCATTATACTGTATATGTACAACGTTCTTACAATAATAATTTTTTTTTTTTGAAGCGCACCCCATCGGCCGCGGCGAATCAGAATCCGTAAAGTACTCATTACGTAAAATCGTCGCCTCTATACATATATAAGGCGGTGCATAAGTAATCACTGATTACGACGCGTTGCTTAGGTATTGCATCGAAAAATTTTCAACAGTGTACTGCACACTTTATTGGGGCGATTGTATCGCATGTAGGATTTTAGACATTAAATCTGTCCAAACGCGTCTTAAATATCAATGTTTTATACACAAATATGCACGCCTCGCGCATTCATGTCTTTCTTCTTTTAATTACTTAACAAATAAGTGTGAAGAAGCAGTTGCACTATACTGCTAATAAAATTGAAAAGACGCTATGCTTATTTCATTGTCGATATTTGTATCATAAGTGTAGCACAAGATTAAGAATATTTTAGCACATAGATCTTTCTTCTTAATTTGAATCTTTTACTCAATATTTTCCTTTGATAGCATTTTAACTTATTGTTATCAGAATTGTTAAAAATCTTATTTAAAGCAAAGTACTATATTATTAATAAATTCCTGTATGCGCGTCACTTTGACCGGGTTACCCTTTTCTCTTACTATTTCGTGATTGTCATTTACTACTTACGTGTCGATTATAAAGCTGTATATCTACTCGTGATCGACGATTGTACATAATTATTCATCAGTGCTGGTCGGTGCAAACGAATTTCCTTTCAAGATAAATAATCTACGAATTGGATGAAAAAAGGGGAAAATAAATTTGCCAAATCGCCTACCCTTCCGCCATGTTCGCATTCATTAAAAGAAGACAATAAGAATGGATACATACGCAGAATGGACAGATTCGTGCAAATACCTGAAGCAATGTGCGGTCCGAGCCTCCGGGGGGGGCCGGGGGGGAATAAAAGACTGTGTAATTTACGATTACACACGTTGTCGCCGACAACGTGGCAGCAACGGCTCGTACTCTTTCGATAGAAATGTTTCAACGCGGCGTGCCCAGGGCGCCCCAGTGCTCGGCGGCGGGTCATGCGTAATGCGGATAGGTGCCGAGATGAGGTGGCACGTGTCCGGAGGCCGTGTGATGGCCGGCATACAAGTTGGCGCCCGGGCTCGTCGACCAGTAGCTCGATGCCGATTGAAAGAGGCCGCCAGGAACGGAAACCGAGACCGACGCCGCCGGCGGCGGCATCAGGTTCAGCTTGGCATGACCGTAACCGGACATGAACAGCTCGCTCTGGTACTTGTACGCCGCCGGATCGGCCGCCGCCGGCTGCGTCGCGGCTGCCAGACCCTGGAAATCGAACTTGTACGCGTACCTCTTGCCGTGAACCTTCGTCATGATGTTCTTGTCGTAATAATACCTGCAAACAGACCGATCCTCCGTTCTGATTTCCCTTCATGAGCAATAACCGGATCTAGTTTCTAGAGAGTAACATTCTGCTTCTCGAAAAAGTTTACTTTCAATTTACGTAACAAATATAATTAGTTGTTAAAAGAATAATTTATATTTTTAAAAAATTGAGTCTTAAGAAGCAATATGAATCAATACATATATATCTACGTATCACGAGAATATTAATATCATCAAATATGCTATTATATATATCAATAAATTTGCTATTTAATAATGAAAAATCATATCAAATCTTTAGTTTTCATTATGACTTAAAAATGTATTCATTACATTAAAATAAAATAAAGTTTCATTTCTCATTTTATTTTCAAAAAATCATGTTTCAATTTTGATAAAATCAATTAATATAACAAAATTATATATCTCTGGTAATAAATAGTAAAGTATGAATCAATCAATTTATTATTTAGTTGCTACATGAGATAAATATCATGTATACATTTTTTTATTACATATCACATATTTTTTGTTACATTCATATGTCGTTTTTTTAAATATTTTATTGTATATTCAAAAGAATTCCGCGTTAAGAAATACCGAATTCCAAACTCGGCATCTTCAACTTAAAAATCCTCGACGTTAAAAATGAATCTATTCATCTGTTCAGTAGTTCTTACACGATGAACGAAGGGACGCTAAAAAGAGCAATCGCGTAATATAATCAGTGGATCTGATGGAAAAATAATAGCCGCGTCTGCCGTCGGTTTGACTGTCGGTGATTGAAATTTCTCCCCCGTTTGCCACCCCCCGACAACACCGACACATACACGCGCGCGTGGAACATCCGACCGTACATATACCGAACGAATTTACTTTCTCCCCGAAACTTCGTCAAAACATAAATGATAGCTCGTTAATAGCTTTTCCATTTGACGTTTGTAGAAAAATGCGCCGCGTCGCGCATTTTCGTCACCGTAAACGTGAGCGTCCCTGAAGAAACTCGCAATCGTCATCTCAAAGACTCACCTTAGAGCCCTCGACAATTTGTCGTAATTCATATTAGGTTTAGACTTCCTCTCGCCCCATCGTCTCGCCACCTCGTCGGGATCGGTCAACTTGAATTCGCCGTTAGTTCCTTCCCACGTGATGCACGCGGCATTACTCGAGTCCGACAGAAGCTCGAGTAGAAACTGCCAGAGTTGAATCTGACCGGAACCGGAGCTCGCGAGTCGACTGCTCGTCGCCCCGAACATTTGATAAGGATCTGCTGGCCACAACAAATTCAGTACTTCGTCACAGCATTCATCTTATATTATTACATTACTTAATTAACATATTAATTAAGTCAGAAAATATATTACTTTCACGATTCTGCTGTTGTTTCCGCGCGATCAAATTTGATCGGTGTAAGTATTTTTATTCTTCAATGAAAGATTTTTGTACAAGCTTTTGCAATAGTCATTTTATATCATATTGTATTATAACAAATGGAAAAATTTGCGAGATTATAAGTGACAAATATACAGTATAATGGAGACGAATTTAATCAACATTGAAACTTGATCTTATTGTTGCTCCATTCTGTAATATTTCGTTTATTACGATTAAAGTGTTTCGTGAAATATGTGTGTAATCTGTGTCAATAAACATTTGTTTTCATATTGCAAGTGAGAGCAAATGATAAAATTTTTCACAATTGCATGTAACAGAATATACCTATCTATTACATAGTTGTTTTTCAAGGGTCTCTGTATCGCCCTTTAAAAGCTTTACAATGCGTCATCACCGACGTTCAGACATGAAGGGCTCTACAGTCGTACAAAAGAACATAATCGCAATCCTACAATAGAATAGAATTCATTTGGATCATAATAATTTCAATTTGAGAAACTACTGACGGAGTGGCTCAAAGGGTGACACGAGTGTCTTCTAAACCTTCGAAGTCGTGCAATTCAAAATATCGATTTTTATTTTTATGATAAAAATGCAATGTGAGAAAAAATACAATAGATTAGAAACCGTAAAATTTTCCCTTGTTTCAAAACTTATTTATAATTCAGAATTTTTAAAGTTCTGTAAAGCACTGAATGATATGATAACAAAAAATGAAAAAATAATAAAAAAAAGTTTATTTTACAAAAAGAGTTTTTAGAATTATATTTTATATATTTTCTATTTTGCTAATAAAATAAACAAGTATAGAAAAAGATGTTTTTATTAATTTACAGATAACAAGAAACTCTCGAGAATCCGAAAATTTGCATTAACAATAAATCTAATCAGTGTGCACGAGACTACTTCAATTGCATGAAGGAAAAATTTAACGGACTTTATAATGAAGAGAACCAAAATTGTCCCGATTTAATGACTTTCACGGTCTGAAAGAAGAGTCCTGACACAAAAAAAAAAAGAACTCCAAGACGGACCCCATAAAAATACAAGCCGAGCGATTATGAGAGGGGACAGACGCGGATGATGGGGACGGATTCCGAATTGCCGGACCTCAAAGGTCGTTTCGCCCGATGAATCCGCTGAATGCGTGCCGTAGTGATCGCCTTTCGATCGAACAGTAATTCACTTACAAGTTAATAATGGGAAGGGGCGCGGTACACCCATTTATCTGCCGAGAACGAGGGAATCGACTGGGAGAAATACTGAGACGCGACTACGCCCAAGGGTTCCAGGCTCTTTTCTCGTCGCGGCCCGAGACTTTGAGGAATCGATGAAGCGCAAAGTAACAGTGACCTTGTTCGACTGTCATGTAAGTAAATCTCTCTTTTCACTTTTTTTTAGATTTAGACAATTTACAATTCATAATTCGGAACAATATTCTACGTATAATTTAATTCGTGTAATGTAGAAAACATTTGCCCAATGTATTTTATCTATATTATTTATAAAACTAGAATGTCTTCTTTTTAATTTTACGATAGAAATTGTAAGACACGTGTAATGATATAATATTTATGCATACTATTCACACACAATTATAAGTAGAATTCTGTTTGGAATATTCAACCCCGAATCACATATTATCTAAAATAAACTTTATCATCAATATTATCAGTACGTTCATTTAATACGTTCAAAATATAAATGTTTTAAAGTAATTTAATTAAAAAAGTTCATATTAAAAAAATTGTTAAAATTTTATTTAAGAAATATATATATCTGGATTTGTTGACTTTATTTAATTAACAAATTTGGGAATAGGATTATTTGTAATATACTATGCATTTAATTATGCATGAAAATTTTGCTTCTATATTTTTATATGGTATTGATAAAAAGCGGTTTTTAACAAATAATGTCAAATATAGATAATAATAGTTTTATTCATGATTTATTTCATTTCATATTATTTTGTTCCTTCTATTTTGTAAAATACTGGTTACTTTTTACTGATCATAATTTAATAAGCATTTTGTTACACATCTGATTTTCAGATATATCGTAGATATAACATATTTTGTGCAATATATGATATTTTTCTATTAATATATATGATTTCGTTATAACACGATATTTTTCTCCAAAACTAATTTCTTAGTTAAACTAATTTAACAAGAGTGATAGATTAGAATCTATTTTAAATATTGAACCAGAGGCAAAATCAGATAAGATAGTATGGGAGGGTAGCGCTTTAACTATAACATATTTTGTGCAATATATGATTTTTCTATTAATATATATGATTTCATTATAACACGATATTTTTCTCCAAAACTAATTTCTTAGTTCTTTCTAGTTAAACTAATTTAACAAGAATGATAGATTAGAATCCATTTTAAATATTGAATCAGAGGCAAAATTAGATAGGGTAGCATGAGAGGGTAGCACTTTAACTTCTCAAAAATATCTACCTACTACATACCAGGCTGCCTGAGATGGCTGTGCGTGTCCAATGCTGTCTTTGATAAGCTGCTTCCATAGCCTGAAACAGGATATTCATACGTTACTTTTCATCAAAATTTTATAACAAAATATTTTAAAACATATCTTGAATATATATCTTTATATATCTTTATATATCTTGAAAATTAATAATAATTCTAAGAATGAAAGAAATAAAACACACATTTTTAAGATAAAATAGAGAATTACACTACGCAGTATATTTCATAAAATTCTCCATCATTTCCATATTTTTCGAAATATATAATTATTTATCGAAAGAGACACCAGAGATGATTTCCGAACATCATTGCTCGTAGACATATATACGGCGAAGAGATAAATTCTGACGGCGAAAGTCATCGGTCCGAATGCCGAAGATGAAAAAGCGCAAACTCGGTCGAGCGTTAGAATCCGTTAGAGAGGATTTCCGTGTAGGCAAACACACGGGGCTGAGTGCTACGTGTACGTTTCTCTCTCCCCGTTCTCGTTTCGTCACCGTCGTCCCATAGCGTAGGTCTCCTCTCCTCGTCTTATCATACGAATTCCCTTTCCTCGTACGAGGCCCGACGGTCACGTTTACGCGCGGACGTGTGCAATCTGTTTAAGGGCACAATGCCCCTTAATTTCGGCTCGTTATACGCTCGCAGGCAATAGTCTGCAAAGGTCAGTCGACTGACTCTTCGAAAACTCATGGAATTGCAATTGCAATTGTTTCCAAATTGGCTCGAAGGCTACTTACGCCATTAGTACGCATCAACGCGCATTTTATTTATATTTTCCAACTAATCTCTTTTTTCAATAATTTTTCGATACTAAAGTCATGTCGTTTGTTGTTTTATTAATTATTTAGATGCTGCTCTATTTCTTTTATAAGAGCATTATATTGCAAATATTGTCATACATAAATTTTATGAAAACAGACATTTTAAAAATTAACTTTTACAAAATTTTTCAGTTAAATTAAAATTTTTATCTCATTGTTATTTTATATCCAAATTTATCAACTCGCATTTATAGTCCATTTTTATTAAATTAGCTTGCATATAACATATGCAAATATTACATATGTCATAAATCTTATGAAAACAGACATTTTAAAAATTAACTTTTATGAAGTTTTTCAGTTATTAAATTAAAATTTTTGTCATTGATATTTATCTCCAAATTTACGAATCCGCATGTTCCATTTTTACTATTCATTATTACTACTATTCATATTATTACTATCCATTTTTACTAAATTAATTTGTTTTTACCAAGCAAGTGTATAAGACTACATTAAGATGATTATATGTAACGTTCTAAAATGATCGTGTGAATATCGTATAATTCTAACGTTAAAAAAATTATATAACAGTCTGAATTATAAGAAATATTCGTGTTCTCATTTCTGTTCTCACTGATATCGATAATGATTTACGAGAATCGATACAATCGAGATCCCCACAGTGACAACATTTTCGACATGCTGTCGCGTCGGAATGTGGCGAGGCCCCCATGGGGCAGATGCTACCTTTAAATAGCAGTCGGTGTCCGTTGTGTTAAACAATCTGATTTCGCCTCTGATTGGGAGCGGGTACGGCCTTCGATGAGGGTTTCGGACGGGGAGACCAGACCAGTTCTTGGGTCTCTACGGGTCGTAGAGGGTCCGCCGCAATCAGTGTAGCCGCGGGGCTACGAGCCGTCGCGCGCGTTCGTTTTTCTAACGCAACTCTCCGACACCGAGAACCCATCGACAGCGTGTATGACGGATGTCACCGACGATAACACGATCAGATTTTCAGCGTAGATTACAGGCAGTGCGAACTTCGTTGAATTACATGAACCTGTCAACCGTTACTATTTTTGACAGAAAGCTATACGAAATATCTCACTACTATCAAATTATTTTTTTCTATTTTTGATTTTTAGTACAATATATTGAGAATTTAAAATCAATTTTTCTTCAACTGTTAAAATATTTTGAGAGATGTCGATAATTTATAATTTTTTATTAAGCTTTAAACAGTTCTTCTAGAGTATTAAGCGCAAGTAAGTTTTCAGATTTCAACTTTTTGTAACAATAAGTTGAACAAAAAAATATAATCAGATACAAGCTTCATTTGAGAATGCCATTAAGAAATTTTAAAAATCCGCAACATCAAAATTCAAAATTATCTGAATAGTTTGTTTTTGAAATGTTATTCGTTTTACTTAGTTTGTGATTGCATAAGAAAATGTCATCTCCGTAATATTTGATAATTTTTCTTGAACAATATGTGAATTAAGGAAAATTATATTTTTTGCTATAGTATTTATATAAAAGATTTCTATAAAGAAATATAATATTATATTGAATATAGCAATAAAATAATGCAAAATTTACAAAATGATCAAAGAATAAAAATTATTTACATATAATAAAATACAATATATTATAATTTTTGAAAATACAGAGAAACTTTAAAATCGCAAAACGATTTGAAAACTTTAATACACAAGAGATACATAAGCAATTATTTGGATCGCTTATATGAACTCACCGCTGAAAATCAGAAGAAAATGTGATCCATGCAAAAATTCTTTTAAATATTGTTTTTAGATCGATTTTGCGTACTTATACAGTGACTCGTCTAGCGTCACCTTGAATCGACGAACGTGCACCCATTGTCGCGAGTATATCTGCGCATTCACGAGCAATTACGCGGGGCGGGGTAATCCCGTTAGGGGACATGCAGCTTCCTCGAGGGAGGATCAAAGAACCCGTCGTCATTCCGTGCTGCTGCACTCTTTGGTAGCCTCGGACGCGCACAATGCTATTCGACGTCGCGACGCCGAAAAGAAGGGGGAATCTCGGCGCCCTGACTTGGAGAAACTTTGGGCACGTTCCAACAAACACGTCGACGCGCCAAAGCCCTCTCGTTTGTTTCAATCGTTTCGCCGTATAGTATCGAGATATCGTTCCGCCACGCTAATTCCGAAATGTTGCCGAAATGAGAGAACCAAGACTCGTATTCAAATTGCTTGGGAATTTTTAAACTGTCTTCTCGATATGAATAAAAATGAAATGCAAATGGAATGTTCCACGAGATAAAGTTTCGCCGATGTTTATTTCAATACTTTGAAAGTGGAGCAATGTCACTTTTTATTATCAAAGTTAAAAAAAGAAAGCATTGCGTAGCCTTAATGAGAAAGAACGATATACAGGATGTTTTTTAATAAGTGCGAAACAATTTTAGGAGATAATTCTTTGTCGAAAATTAAGGGAGGTTTTTCATATAACATACATTAAAAGTTCTAATAAAAAATTGAAGAGGAGTTGCTAGTTTCATCCTCTTATAACAATATAGGAGACTGAAAAAAATATTAACAAGTAATCTTTTTACTGGTAGAAAATATCCACCTAATTTCATTTCTTTAACTTGTTCTAAATTTGAGAAAAAAATAAAAATCTAATTTTTACCCTCATTTTTGGAGGAATGTAACTTCAGAGAGGGACGTAGGAGTATATGTATATATGAAAAACCTCCTTAATTTTCGACAAAGAATCATCTCTTAAATTTCTTCAAAAATTTTTCGCACTTATTAAGAAACGCTCTGTATATATCTTTATAATAAATTTTTAGATTTCAAATTATAATCAGTATTTATAAACTAGTTTATGACTCATTTAATTTTCGCACTTGTAATGTGCCATACTTTTTTACGCTTTAATTTTAATAACGTCTATTAATGATTTATAAGATGAATAATTTGAAAAAAAAAACTCCAATTCGTATTAGAAATATTTTCATTCAGTTTTATTCGTAGACGGATAATTCATCGGACTATATCCTAGAGATATAGCCTTAAGTGGTACTGACTCATGCCTAGCCGTTTCGGCTGGCGGGCCTATTTCGGACATAAATCACACTGCCGTGCGAGAACGCAGTGCGTAATAATGAGCAAGCGAGCGTAAAACACGCCAAGCCTTTAGCGTAGAGAGAAAGCGTAGCTTGTAAGAGCTGTGCGAGATAAAAAAGATTACACCTGTATGCGTGCAGGGGTGGAAAGTCAGGGGAAGTATTATTTTTCACGTTGTTCCCGCCGACGTTCCGCTCGTCGGAAATGTGCTATGGAATGCAAACATTTTTTTTGTGTCGCTTCGTGTACCAATGCAAGATCGCGCATATTATACAAAGATCCTGTTATGCGCGATAATCCAAAGAGATATTTTCGTAAAGCAAACAATATCATATGAAAGAATCGAATGGCAAAGTAGGGTGAATCAGTTTTCGAGAATAAAATTGAAATGTCTCACAATCAGTATATTATATTTACATGAGTTTAATATAAAGAGATTATAATGTATGAAATAATATATGAAATAATATATAATATAAATAGTAGAATTTAAACAATAACCGAATCGATATAAATAACGTAGCAAATATTCTTAAAAAACTCATCTTTAACGAAAAAAATTCTTAAGAATGCTTGTTCTACGGGTAATCTTTGAAAAATACTTTGAAATATTTTGAATTTAATTTAATGCATTATAGTAATTAACAATTTAAAAATTTCATATATAATATTCCCAATAACATCATCGATTATAGATTGAGAACACTAAGTGTAATCCACATCATTATATCGCAAATATTCATGACACACAAAAATTTCTAAAGTATCGACTATCTGTCCGGTAAATTGCTTTCTAAAAAGCGGAAGTCACAGTTGTTGAATGAGGCTTTCTCGAGAAGTTAGACGTGCAAGCGATTCGTGCCCTGTGATGGAGGTAACATGTTTTTGTTCGTCAGATAAGGGCAGGCGTAGCAAAAGTTATTTGTAAGAGCGAGCTGCGTAGCGCGGAAGAAAATTAATCGTTTCCTAATTATCGCATAGCGTGAATATAGTGCCTGCTCGCCAGGAAAAAAGATTCTTGTCTTCGATTCAAGTTCCCCCGCACGATATAAGCGACTAAGTATTGTTTAGAGGGTAATCATTTTTCGCGTATCCACGCGAGCTGCTTGCGCAATATCTCAAACACTCAGCAGAAATTCTTTCGGTCTTATCATC